TAACCCTTTACAACTGAAAATTATCTTCCAAGAATGCGAGCTTCATTTTGATAGTCTACAATGGTAGGAATGCAGAAGGAGTTTATGAACAGATAAGTGCTGAAGTTCTATAATTGGGGAATGGGTAGTTGTCACTCATGGTTAATTATTAGTGTTTACAGTGCTTGGAATCTTAAGTCTTGGAATAAAATTCTTTCTGAACCAGTAGATCTTTTGGATGAAAATGATGAAATTGTTGCTGAAATTTTGAATGAAAATCGGAACTGCACGCAATTCATTAGATATTGCAATGAATTGGCTAGAACGTCAAAAATGATGTTGATCCAGTTCAGTTGATTTATTTAAAAAGAATAAGGGATATATGACTGCTAAAAAAAACGCATCTTCTTTGAAACGAAATCTTGCTGAATTTCTTTCACAATGGAAAATAATAAAAAATGTGGTAAAATCAGTAATTGACAAAAAAATTATTAAAAACTGAAATATGTATGATAAAAATAATTCAAAATGAAAAAAAAATTAAAAAAATTTATTTAAAATATTTAAAAATTGAAAAAAAAACATTTTAAACACGCCAGAGCTACTTTAGATATTACTGCCAGTCCTAAGCCTACAAAAGGTACGAAGGGAAGTTAGTGCATAAATAATAATCATTTACACTAGATTTTAAACAACTTTCCAATTATCCGAACTTTTCATTATCCGAACCATGTTCGGTCCCGAACAGTTCGGATAATCGGCGCTCTACTGTAATAGAAAATCGTTATAGCGAACACATATTAGACTTCATTTCTGAGAAATGTATTGTAAGTATTTCGAACATTTTCATTAGTATATACGTCATACATTAAACTCAAATATATTGATAATGTATTTTAGAAAATAAATCATAATTTAACCAAAATTGATTTTCTAAATTTTGCTTTTATATGATTACTCTTTATTTTAAATTTTTCGACACCTCTTTTTTNTTTTTTTTTTTTTTTTTTTGAAAAAAAAAATGCAATCTTCGGCATTTTGCCAAATTAAATATCACATTATTCGTTTTTAAATAATAAATAAATGAAATCCATGTAAGTTCTAATGATTTTTACACATAAAAATTATTTCTCTTTAATGATAGCAAATTTAATTCCTTTAGTTGTTAATAAACTTGAGTATATTATAGAGAAGCCACCTGGTGGTGAATTGCGGTAACCAGATATTACGTAATGTAAACACTGTTTAAGTGACTAATTTTAAAAATAAATGCGATCATATAAACATACTTAAATTCTGTAGAAAAATATTACAACTCACAAGTTGTCGAAAAATATTTCAAATGATAGGTATTATAAATAATGCTATGCTGAATCGATTCGCCAATTACAACTGACAGAAAATGATAATGAATATTGGAAAATGAGCTGATCGAAAAAGAATACTGCCAGTTAGCTGCAAAATATTCTGATAAAAGTAAAAGTTTTTGAATTATCTGCTGATGAAAAATTATTCATAAAAATCTTTGCTGGTGTCACGTCATTAAAATATTATTTAATACATTTTTTTTCAGTAGCATTTTTCTTCTTTTTTTTTCTTTTTTATTTAGATCAGCTATCAAAATTAACGCGAAAAGTGCTCACTTAATGTTAAAGACTTATGTTCATGAAGCTATATTTTTTTTCTTCTCTATTTTCTTAATTAATATTATGTCGTTACATTTGTATAAATACTCAATTATTTATAAAGTTCTGATTAATGAAACTCTGAATAACCATTCTTCGTGAGGGGTGAAAAAAAAGAATCAATAAATCAGTACTGCAGACGATTCTCTTTATCTCAAATATTTAAAAGATTACATCAGTGGTACTTGCTGGCTTATAACTCTCGTTAAGAAACAAAAGGTTTTGCGCGTTCTTTAATATTTAATTTTTATTCGTTATGTCAGCGAGAACATGACGGTATTTGCAGATTACGTCGCCAAATTCATAACCACGCGTTTATTTTGCTTATAGTTATGCTTTTAAAAAGTAAATCTATAAAACTAAATATTTTAAAATCAACTGCAATTATAATTAAAATTGATAAATTATGTATTTAAAAGCACAATCATTAGAGAAATAATACTAATTCGCATAGGAGAAACATTGAAGATCCCCGTACTGCAATTGACCCCAATGATTTTTTTTTTGGTTAATGGCGGACAATTGGATCTATTTCCCATTGGCCTCAGAAATGCCAGAATTGCTACTCTCTTATCGTTACCCAGTGAGCACCTGCGGCTGAGCCACGACGGTGGAGTAGCATCGCCCACGTCATACAACCAAAAACCTGTTCATAGGACAGGTTACATTCACACAATCACGCAGAAGAAAGGACATAAAACACACAGAGAGAGAAAGAAACATCCATGCCCTAAGCGGGATTCGAACCCGCAACCGTCTGCTCCGCAGTCAGGCACGCTAACCACTCGGCCACCTGGTCGGCATTTGATCCCAATGATGCTTAATCAATTTTGGTAATCTCTATAAATTAAAGTAAAAAGAAATAAGCTGAGTATTAAGAAGAATTAATGGAGAGATGGTGTTAATTCATTTGAAAGAAGCGTAAAAAAAATCAAACTATTATTATTAAACTAATGATTCTTACTTAATTTTGGTAATCATTATTTATTGAAATTAAAGTAAGCTATGTTGGCAGCATTATTAATAGAGAAATAGTTCTAATTGGTTTAAGCGAAGCGAAATTATTATCGGCGCCAATAATGCTTAATTTATTTTGGTAATAAGTACTAACTGAAATAATAAAAATGATAATAAGCTATACACTCTAAATGATTCTGGATATAATTAATCCTTATTTGGATGAGACTACTTCGGACTACTAAAATCGTGCTTTACTTAATTTAATAACGCAGAGTCAGCAAATAATAAATTTAAAAAATGGCATTATTTCAGCTTTATTAATTGTGTTGGTATAAGTCTTTTAATTTTTTGTAGGGTATCGTAATGTTGCTGAGTATTGAAATATTGATTGCTTACTCCCCCCCCCCNTCCCCCCCCCCGGAAACGAAGAACGGGTATTCAGCTAGTAAAAAAATAATAATAAAAGGTGTATACCGAATAAATTTCTGGTGGATTGCTGAACGCTGAATGGGGCGGCGGCATATTTTCTGTTGACTTTAAACTCTCGGATGAAGTCAACGTAGAGGAGGCTGGACATCCGTCCCAATCCAATGGCGATGAAATTAATGAGTAAAATAGACACTGCAATTGTCCAGGAGAGAGCACGATCTTTACCAATCCAGAAATTCTCTCTGCATATCCTTTTCTTCGTCCTGCTAAAATATGAAAGCTACATAAATTAGAGGCTTGAAAAGCAGCCGCCTCATAAAAAGTTCGAATCCCGCTTATGGCTTTTGTACTGCTTTTAGCTCGCACTAAAAGCTTGATTGACTTTCTATTCAATTCTTCTACTTTCGATTCAACAATTAGAGTAGATTATTGATGTAAAAGCAATTGTAAAGGGAATCTGTTGCTTAACGTCAGTGATTATTATTAAGTCCCCGACGATATTATTAGATTCTGTGTTATTAGGTGATGCTCTGCAGCTGTATTGTTTTTACGCAATCGAAACTGGTTTGCACTTGTTTACGCTCCTGTGTCAATTGGTTAACATTGTATAATGCAGTAAGTTAAAAATAAATACAACTAGGAAATATATAAAAAATCTCCTGAATAAAAAACCCATTATATATAAAAGTATTGCCTTATAAAGTATTGCCTATATTTTTATTTTAACTTGCCATTTTTTCAAAACAAACATTTATTAGCTTTTCTTCTTCAAATCAGTTTTGTTGTCGTCTTTATTCACGTCTTTTTTAAAGCACTCGAAACCTGGCTAATTTTTCCTTCTCAGTTATTTTTGAAACGACTGAGGATTATCAGGTATATGTATTTGTTTATTTTTTAATACGACGCACGCTCTCGACAGTTAAAAAAACCTTTTCGGAAGATTTTCAAATGTTTAATAACCACTTTTAAGAACCCTTTTTTTAAAAAAATATTTCAGACAGCAACTCGATTATATTGTAGGAAATAGAAAAATAATAAGTGAGCTGTGCTTAAAATTTTGGTATCCAAAAGATTTCCCGAAAACTCCTAGAGCTCCGAAGAACAGTTACAAGGGCCCTAAAAGCCAGAATTTTTTAAAACTGAAACAACAATAATTATTAAAAAAATTCCTCATTATTTTAATATTATGGTTGTTTATATGAACTTACTCATAAAAAAATTATCTGTGAAAAGTAGAAAAATTTTAAAATTTTTTTTATTTTAACAAGAAGAGGTTTTGCGTGGCTCTCCTTTACTCATGAAATTTTATATGTAAGAAGTCGTAAAATTGAAAAGAAAAATGTACTATTTTAAAAAATCGACGTTTAAAGAGGCTCCCTGAATTTCCAAACCACAACCATCTGGTTTTACTCTCTCCAAACTTCTACATCATAACCAGTACATATCTTTCGTCACATTACCGCAACCAGCACATAACTCTCTTCACATCACCACCAACAGGTGGACTTTCAGTCACTACACATTTAACTTTCACGTTCTGCGTACACACGCCACTTATTTTGCAACCACCAGCATCGAATTCTAGAAGTACCTCGAGCTCTCCAGCCGGCGCCTTAACCAACTGCGCTACCGAAGCGCCGACAGTTTTTTACGTGAAATATATCTCTTCTGTTTTTAAATATATTTTTAAAAAATTCCACACCAATTTCAAGTTAAATTTAATTTACATTTAAAGGCTTTGGAAAACGTACTCTCCTAGGAACATTGAGCCCATTGTGCAGCTTTAGTGCGACGTAAATTAACAATAACAATAACCTAGGAACATTGTTCAAATAAAATCTTGAATATCATTTTGATAACACCAAAATTCTAGTTTTTTAATATCATGCAAGTTCTCATCAATTAAAACGCCGTTTTGGAAGATTCTCAAATGATTAATAACAATCTCTAGAAGTTCCTTATTTAATAAAATATTTCAAACTACAGCAAAATTATAGTTTTTTTTAAGAATGCAAGTTCTCATGAATTAAAACGGCTTTTTGGAAGATTTTAAATGTTTAATAAGAGTTTCTAGAAATTCCTTTCTCAAAAAAATACTTCAATTTACAACATGGTTGAAATCTAATAAATTGCATCAAACCTAGTGAGCTGTGTTTAAAATAGTGCTATCAAAAAAACTTTTCCTAACGCAGCTCGAGTTCCGTAGAACGGTCACTTGAGCCCTGAAAGATAGGATTTTTTTTAACAGTAATAGCTGTAATTATAGCAAAAAAATCCTAATATGACACATTTGACAAGCACGCTCTGCATAATCATGCCAATTATTTTACGACCACCAGGATTGAACTCATTACCTCGAGCTCTCGCACAAGCAGTGTGGCCTTAACCGATTGCTCTATCGGAGCTCCGATAAAATTTGTAGTGTAGTATATAACTTCTGTTTTAAAATATATTTAAGAAAAATTGCTCACCATTTTCAAGTAAATTTAATTTACATTTAACTAAAGGTTAGGCTTTCCAAGGAACATTGTTGAAACTTTAATATCATTTTGATGACACCAAAATTGTTTTGTTGTTGTAGTTAATTTACGTCGCACTAGAGCTGCACAATGGGCTATTGGCGACAGTCTGGGAAACATCCCTGAGGATGATCCGAAGAAATGCCATCACAATTTTGATCCTCTGCAAAGGGTGTGGCGCCCCCGCTTCGGCAGCCCAAAGACCTGCACGCGAAGTTGAGCACTTTCCGTCAGAAAAGTTTAACGAGGACCCATACCGCACACCCTCGGTCCCTACGCAGACTGATCCAAGTCAGGACTAAAAAGAATAGAAGGGCTAGTTCACTCCGCTCTTAGAGCTGCAGCTACGATTTCCCTCCTCATGACGTCACTGTGTCCACAGATCTCGGAAGATCGCACGCAAAGATATTATGATAACTTTGCATCTTTCTCTTTGTAAAAATAAGTTAGACTTTTTCTGATAATTAGCTTTCAAACTTTACGTAATTAACACATTATTTCCATTCATAAGCATAGTTTAAAAAAACTTTCTTGGCCATTATATTAAAAAAATACCATTTTAAACTTATAAAAATATTTTACTAGTTGGAGAAAATGACACTATAAATACTTTATTTTAAGAAGTTCAGTTTTAACTTTAATTATTAAGAAAAATGAAAGCATATATCGACACTTTTTTTTCTACATATTCTGTTATATTCAGAATCCCCGATTTTAAAATATGTAGTTAATAGCAATTTGTTCATACTCAATCATTAGGAAACATCAACCTTAAACCCTAATTACTGAAACAAAATAATAATTTAGTTTCATAATGACATTAGAAATTTTACAATTGTTTATAGATATTTAAATTTAAGATGATATAATTTATAGATATTTAAATTCAAGAGAATATAATTTTTAAAAGAATCATAAATATTTAGAATAACTACATTAAAAAAATAAGTAATGAAATTAGGAGAATTTCAACTGCTCACTATATATTTTATTTATACTCTTTACTTACATTTCAATTTTCTTCGACTTAATCCATTTTTTAATTTCTATTCCTTCTAGGCGGTTTCTATTTAGATAACAAATTTTTATAAAAGTTCTTAACGATAGAAAAAACGTATTACTGTTTTACATTAACTCTGTCATTTCGGAATCCATTCTTTACATAGTTGTTCATTTAATTTAGGGAGCACGTGGAAAATTATATATTTTTTTTTTCTATCAGAATTTTCGCAAGTTGCAATCGCGCAAACTGGAATTTCGTTAATAGTTTTAAAATTTTTTAAATTCACGGCGAAAACTGAGGAAAATCATTATAGAAAATAACAAATGTCTTAGAATATGTCACAAAAAGAAATGCTCCAATATTAGTTAGAGCTAGTAAGGCCGTACGCTCTGTTCTTGAAGTAAAAGTGCGAGCATTACGCCAAAGTGACGTCACTAGAGAAAATCGGAGGATTGGCGCGGCGAGAGTTTCTTCTAAGGAGTGAACCAGCCCTTCTATTCTCTTTAGCCCTGGATCCAAGTGGTCTCCCACCCGCGCACTGACCGCAGCCAGTGATGCTTGACTTCGGTGATCTTCTGGGAACCGTGTCTTAACGATCAGTCCACTGCGGGATCCAAAATTGTTTTAATAGCCCAACAGTTCATTTAGAGCATGGGTAGTCGAGTTTCATTCATATGAATGACGATGTTTAATAACAATTTTTAGAATTTCCTTTTTTTTTTTACCAATTGTCAAAAGTGGTCTTGTTTTTGGTTTGATGGCGTGGGCATCTTATTTGGACGTCATCACACATTTCAACTATGTTATAGCGTTGCCACTGTATGCGTTGCTATGGCGATCGCTGCTGTTTTTTTGAAATTTGTTTTCACTATTTTTAATGTATTTACATCAAAATAATTTAAAGTATTTTTATATTTTTTTATTATTCACTTATAATGACTGGCTTGACGATGATTTTAAGTTCTGAAGAAGGAAAAGTATTTTATGACGTCTTGAAACACGTACATAGGCAGGATATGAAAACCAATCCGACGTCAAACATTCATTGAGAGAGTTTTTGCAACCCCTGATTTGAAATGTTGTGGCGTTTAAGGGAGTTCATCCAGATAGAAAAAGCTTTTTACCAATGGGTAACCAGTGATTGTTATAAAACAATCACAATTTCTTTTTTCATAATCTTCTTTCAATACCGGAAAAGCACCAACAACTTCAAAGCTTTTAATCAAGGAAGAGGGTTATTAACAAATATTTTTTTTCATCGAAAACTTATTTGCATATTTAACTCTGCATGCTGTTATGAATGATGCATTTCACGGAGTAAAAGATATTATAATCTGTTGCAGAACTGTAATCGAATTTATCTGAAGCAGCCTTCTTCTGCGACCGCATGCAATCAGAATACTCTGATTGAATTTGAGCCCTAAAAAAACTACAAGTAAATCCGTATTTTCCTTGTCTGCTTTCAAACTGAATTCCCTCACTATCACATAAACAATCAATTTTAGACTGAAAAGACTTTTACACTTTTACTAAATAAAAACTAACACTTGGAAGTAAAATTTAAATGACATAAATGTAGTGAATCAGCTGATTTCGAATAATTTTTTTTTTTTTTTTTTTTTACCAAAATGTGTGTTGTCACTCTTCTTGTTACCCACCCCTTGTCAAAAATTGTCACGATGTTATGAAAAAATCCCTCTCTCCATTCCAAGAAAGACATCCTATGCAGCCGGCCTCTTTGGAATGCAATTTTAAAAAAAACTTTTTAGAGACTTAAATGAACAACCTAAACACGCTGAGAGCATATTTTACTTTTATCAAAAATTTATACGTAGAAAAAAAAAACTTATTCAGAACTTGAAGTAAAAGAAGGTTTTTCAATTAAAAAAGCGAATACTTTAATAAATTTAACCGATGGAATTCTGTTTGTGTCATCCAATAAAAATCGTATTTAAACCAAATGTTGTTTTGAGACTCTAGGGGGGGGGGGGAATCTACAACGGAACTGCATTTCTTTTCGACGCTTTGTCTGCACTGTTTTTAATATGCAACCTGCGTCGTAATTTTGATTTTTAAACATCTCATTAAATTTATATGCATTACGAATTGATTTATGTACATTTAAATCCTATGACATTTAGAACAAATAATTCATATAATTTCCTTATATACGCAGCTAAAAGTTTTTGGAGATACTTTATTAAAGCTCGTGAAACATTTAAAAGGAATACGTAAGAAAACGTATTAAGAAGGTACATTAAATTAAGTTAAACTAATACCTGCATTATTTATAAGAGTCCCGTGAAATTTAATTTCCATTGGTCCCGAGAACACATTTCAATGCAATGTCTCACAAAATTGTGCAATAAGGATGTTTACGCATATCTCACAAAATTGTGCATTAAGGATATTTATGCATGTCTCACAAAACTGTGCATTAAGGATATTTATGCATGTCTCAAAAGATTGTGCAGTAGGGATATTTATGCATATGTCTAACAAAATTGTGCATTAAGGATATTTATGCATGTCTCACAAAACTGTGCATTAAGGATATTTATGCAGGTCTCAAAAGATTGTACAGTAGGGATATTTATGTATGTCTAACAAAAATGTGCATACATGTGGAAAGATTTCTTCACACAATCTATAAATTTATGGAAGAAAACAAGTTTTGATATTATGAAAATTTGTTAAGATAAATTTAAGTGAATTGAATGAATAGTATGACATTTCTTTAAATCATTATAAAATGAATCACATAAATTTGAACGTTTTTGAGCCTATGTTTGTTTGGAAACAGTAAAATAATAAAATTGTTCAGGTGCTTTTAGTATAATAGGTATCTTAGAATAATAGGGATAGTGGTTGCTTTAGCAACATATTTCAGTTGCTGCAAAACTTTAATCGGTTTAAAATCCTGATGGTGAATTCTATTCATAATGAGGATAATAATTGGGTGTTTACTAAGAAGTCAAAAATGCACGCGTTTCTCTGCAAATAATATGTAATTGTAAAATTTTCAGTTATTGTATTTTATAAATAAGTCATCTTTTAATTCATGAATTCCAAAGCGAAATGTATTGATCTAAATTAGAAGTTAATTATTAAAAAAGTGATGAGCATAAATTTAATGTTTTACAGATGCTTTCATATTTACATACTGGATACTCTGAAATGAAATTTCGCAAAACTTACAGTAGTTTTGCAAAATTTCAATATTTGGCACAACTGCTACATTTTAACATGAACAATAGAGTGAAACATTTCAAGTTTGACCCCTACTATCAAAGGCCGATAATTTGTTCTATAGAATAAAAGGGAGAAAAACCTTTGTAACCTGTTTATATATCATGTTGATCACCGAAATAAATTAAACGGATCTATTATTATATGTCATTCATAAATAGACTTTCTACTCTATCATGTTATGCTGATGAATTTCACTAAAACTTTTAAAATAGTATTAAAAGCTAATTTTTATTTTTTCACATTTGTCGTAAATGTATTGCAAATCTACTATATGTAAAGACTGTGAATAAGTATTATAAAATAAAACCGAAAATATTGAAATAATTGTATATGTATTTAAAAAAAATGATTTAAAATAAATAATGAACTTGCATCTTTACCACACCATAACCGGTCAAATAACCGTTTAAGAACTTTTGCATCGAAAATGCGCTTATCATCTTATCGTTTTTGCACATTTGACTTCATGACTTTTTCTAACAATTATATACAGTTAATATTCTATTATTATTATTATTATTATTATTATTATTATTATTGTTTGTATTTGGTTTATTTCGAATAATACGTGTCGTATACCTATTTCTACCACAACCGGTCATTTGACCGGGAGAACAATTTATTGCTTTATAAGATGATCGGATCAGAAATTACAATGTAATGCGTGTTCAACGTATTACATTCGATGAGTTGCACATTTCTGCAAAGATTGTTGCGTAATGAGTCAAAATCACTGCAAATTCAAATTCCAAGAAAGTACCTAAAATTTTAAATGGGCATTTTTGTGTCAGAAAAAGTGACAAAAACTAAATGGGGCCGGGATAGCCTGGTCGGTAGGGCGCTGGGCCCATATCCAAGAGGTCGTGGGTTCGATCCTCGCCGGCCGAAGACTCCCCGTGTAGTAAATGGTGACTGATGCACGTTAAATCTGTCGAGTCTCAAAGTCCTCCATGTTCCCACAACAAATCAATACCTCTGGGGGTACTGATCCAGGAGTTTCCTTGTCTTCTGGATTGGTTCAAAATTACAAGGCTACGGAGTTGAACGTAAGTAGTCGTAAACCCATGAAATTGGGTCGGCTGTTCAACGACGGTTATAAAATAAAAATAAAAACTAAATGATTTGGTCAGTAGCTTATATTTTATGTGGATAGCTTTACTTCATTTCTAACTAACAGTTAGTTTTTACCCAGAAAAATGTCGAAACAACCAAGACAGCACAAGTTCTTATAAGAAATAATTTTAATTAAAAGAATGATTATAATTCTTATAATTATAAGAATAATCATGAGAATTATTCTTATAAGAATAATTATAATATTTATAGAAATAATAATAACTAGAAGAACTATGTTTGCTGAAAATGTACAATAGAACCACCCTGTATATGTAAAAAATACGTTGAGTAAAGAATTAAAAATTCTTTGTGTTTGTAATACATAAAAATTGGCAATTTTGTTCCATTATAATAAAGATTTTTTAGTTTATTTCCGTCCTAACATCCATATTTCATACATTCAATCAAGAAACATTCATTTGACCGGCTATGGTAGAACTAGGTATACACCAAGTGTTGGTATGTTTAGTGTTAAACTGTTGTTGTGTTGCTACGCATGCAAATATCAGCAAACCTGCTTTGAAATGAAGCTGGTATTTAAGACAGAGGGTGGACATCTTGTTTTACACACTGGTGCCATCTATGGCTAAAAATACGATTTTGCGACACACAAGCCGTTCCACAACAGGGGTCCGTTTAGAAGAAATTTGGGTCCGTTAACGGACCCTTCTCAAAATATCTTTTCATAAAAACGGACCCTTCACAAAATATTTTAACTTAAAAACGGACCCTTCACAAAATGATTTTTCTTTTAATCGGACCCTTCACAAATTTGTTTATCTTCATTATTATTTTGTTAATCGAATAAACCCTTTCCAGGGCAGAAAACAAGAAAGATGGATGTAAACGAATTAAGTTTTGTCTTCGGCAGACGATTCTTCCATTATTCGTCCGAAATTAATATTCTGCGTTCAGCAGTATAGGCTAAATACCAAATATTTGTATGTTGCATCTCTAATTTAGAAGCAGCAATTGTTGTTTATTTTTTAAAATTTAATTTTTTTAATTATAATTTTACAGTGTTGAGCATAATCTTGTATGTCTTTACAATTTAAAAACTCCTTGAAAAAATTTTTTTTTTTGCAATAACGGACCCTATTTGCACAAATTCATAAAAGCGGACCCTGGTTGAAAGAATGTGAGTAATTTTTTTCACAATTTCACGAAAAACGGACCTTTCACAAAATGTCTGGACAGACCCCTGCACAAGGAGGACTCATTCACACACCTCTCATCCTTGATTTGAACGATCCATCTCAGATACGGTACACCCAAAGCAAAATGGGAGGACTTTGTGACCACGATATATTTAGCATGCACTTCGGATGTCCTAAACTAATCAGTTCATACTTCATTTAATAAAAGTTGAGGAAAGGCAGAAAGGAAGGTTTGAATAAGAGTTTTCTTACCTTTCAATCAGTGGTTCTGATAAATTCATAACTTCCTTCCTTTCGACTGCAAATATACAAAACAAATAATTAACAAAGGAAAGTGATTATTCGGAAAGGGACAAATTCTATCCCATTCTAATAAATAACTAAATTCGTACCCGTTTTCAGATCCTCAATCAGTTGCCGAGACACTCAAAAGTAAGAACCCTACATTCACATTCGTTTTATGTTCAATGACTTTTTACATCCACTAAAATAAAATAAAAATAGGAATGTGTAAGAAAACTTAATGATATTAAAATTCATGCTTTTAGGAAAAATTTAAGAAAGCATCAACAAGTTCTAACTTTCAAATCACAGAATAAAGACCCTAAATAATAATTAAAACATAAATGCCAATGAGGATAGGAAAAAAAATGCAGTAGATTTTATCAAATAATATAAATTTCATGATAGCTGTTACAAAATATTCTAAACATTCTTTATAAAGGGAATTTTAAGGTTTCTTATTGCGATCAAAATACGAAATTTTATTGCAACACTGACTATAAATTGTCTGCAATATTTTCCATTTATGAATGGCATTAAACGATTTTGAATTTTTTTTATATTATTAACTTTAACTTTTTCTTAACTTTTTATTTTAAACAGTAATAAACAAGTAAGTCATTATTGATAATTAAAACATTTTATAATTAAAAAAATAGTTCTGATCAAAAATGAACTGAAATTTTTAGAAAAGCAATAAGTTTTAAGCTAATTACTATACGTGAGGCTTGCTTCATTACGTACTAATAATACTTATTTAAATATCCAATTTGGCAATAGATTGTATAATAATTCGATGCCAATAGGGATTTTTTTTCCAAAACTTATTCCATTTTAGATGAATTTACTAAAATATTCAAAAACCAGGAAATTTTTTTATTATACCAGAAACCCAGGAGAAAATGTCAAAATTACAGTAGTCGATTGGTAAATCCATTAGAGTTGGCAGTTGCGTTGAAATTAATAATTTAAGCAAGGAAAGAAATCTGCTTTTTTTCTAAAGAACAAGCGTAATTTTTCCAAATTTATAAAAATTACTATTAATAATCACATTTATTCTTCCAAACTTTCTAATTAGCTCTGTTTTGTAATGCTAAAAATCCATCTGAATTCATTGGCCCCTCGTCATTGCAATAAAACAATAAAACATAGTAAAGAAAAAAGAAACATGTAGCATATAGTCTTACCGTTGAAAATAACAGCTGAGATGTTATTTCAATTAATGCTTTCATAATGCCTGTTCTTCCTAAGAGAGCGGAACCGGTTCCTTATGTAAGTTAAGATATTAAAATGACAAAAGTCGAAAAGGAACGGAGAGATGAAGGAAGAAAAAAAAACTTTCTCCTTGAAAGCTTCTTTTTTTTCCTTCCATCTCGATTATTAATGAGAAGAATCAGATGATCAGGTGAAGCGTTTTATTTATCATGATTGATCTCTCGTATTACATAATCATTCATCAAAACATTTCTTCTGAACTGGTGTAAGAAATTAGACTGAAATTTGAAATTTTTCAGACTGTGTCGATTATCTCTAGAACTACTGAACTTATTTTAATGAAATTTGATCTGTACAACATACACCACATAGTCTTACACAGGATGGTATGAAATAGCCGCGCAGGATAATTCAGGAACAATTGATACTACCTTATTTCAAGTATGAAATCACAGACCTGTATATCTGTAAGAATACTCATTTTCTTCTTTTTGTTCATTCTGCTGTTTCATACCTTCCTACTCCAAAGAGTGTTACTCACAATCACATGCTAGGCCGGAATAGCCTGTGGGTGCCGGGCCCATGTCCAAGAGTTCGTGGGTTCGGTCCCCGCCGGTCGAAGACTCCCCGTGTATTAAATAGTGACTGATGCACGTTAAATCTGTCAAGTCTCAAAGTCCTCCATGTTCCCATAACAAATCAATACCTCTGGGGGTACCGATCCAGGAGTTTCCTTATCTTCTGGATTGGTTCAAAATGGCAAGGCTACGGCGTTAGTAGCCGTAAACCCAAAAATTGGGTCGGCTGTTCAACGGCGGTCATAAAAATAAAATCATGTGCGTGCGTATTACGATTTTTGAATGGTTTTTTGTTCAGTATTGTAGCAATGTATGTTGTACAGATCAAATTTCATTAAAATCGGTTCTGTAGTTCTGGAGATAATCGACACAGTCTGAAAATTCCCTTCATTTCTGACACCAGTTGTATAATGAGTTCATTTGAAATCGTTTCAAGCTACCACCTAACAATTAAATTAGGATATTTTTTAACACATATTTTGTTGTTTAAATCACATAAAATTTGAAAGTCCTGGTCCCAAAGAAAAAATACAGAGATTAGAAAAAAGAAATGAACCGACTACATACCTTTTCATTTAAACAGATCACAAAAATTAAAGGCTGCAGCAAAACTGTTCAAAGAACAAAATAGTCTATACTAAATACAGTCCTTACCCTACTATTAGACTCACTATAAGATGCTATGTGAAATTTTAATTATCAGGTGATACTATACAGCTGTATTGCTTTTACGCAACTGAAACTGGTTTGCATTTGTTTACGCAACCTGTATAATGGGTTAACATTGTAATGCAATACGTTAGAAACAAATACAAATAGGAAGTATTTAAAAAAAAATCTCCTGAATAAAAACCCATGACATGTATGTTTAAATATAAAAGTATTGCCTATAAATTCGTGCAAAACATCTCATTATTAAGAAGAAAAAACAGTGCGTCTCATAATTTGATCTCATTATTATAATATACTAATATAATACCTGATATAATAAATATTCTCTTTTTATATAATATATCGTCTGATTTATCCGATCGTCGAATTTATATTATATATCGTCTGATTTATCCGATCGTCGAATTTATATTATATATCGTCTGATTTATCCGATCGTCGAATTTATATTATATATCGTCTGATTTATCCGATCGTCGAATTTATATTATATATCGTCTGATTTATCCGATCGTCGAATTTATATTATATATCGTCTGATTTAACCCATTGATACAGCAACGTAAACAAGTGCAAACAGTGTCGTAAAAGCAATAAAGCTGTATAGAGTATCATTTGATAATTTAGATTTCACATAGAATCTTAGAGTGCGCCTCATAATTTAGATAGGGACAGTAGAATAGATTTTTGAAAATGAATTTTAGCGATCAAAAAAGGCAATAACTATTTAATCAACAATAATGTATCGATAAAAATGACTCAGGATGTAGAAGGGACTGCAAAATTTTATATGCGTGCGATTTCTCAGAGGTGCGTCTATGTGACTTCCCTTGGTCACACGGACCACATCTAGGCTGTAGTTCATTTCATTCTGAAGCATTTTTGCGGTCACAGAGGCAAGCGCATTACAAATGCGTCAAATAAATTGTTTTCTCTTTTCAACTTTTGTTTATCGATTTTTATTCTAGTTTTTTCCTAAAACAATTATATTTTAATTTTATAACCGTCGTTGAACAGCCGACCCAATTTTGCGTTTACGACTACTAATATTCAACTCATTAGCCTAGTAATTTTGAACCAATCCAGAAGACAAGGAAACTCTTCGATCAATACCCCAGAGATATGATTTGTTATTGGAACATGGAGGACCTTGTGACTCGACAGATTTAACGCGCATCAGTCAAAATTTACTACACGAGGAATCTTCGGGCAATGGTTGTTCTAAAACAATTTGTTTTATATAACCGACGTTGAACAGCCAACCCCCCAATTTTTGCGTTTCCGACTACTAATGTTCAACTGTAACTTCTTGTTAACTGCCTAATTTTGAACCCAATCAAGAAGACAAGAGAACTCCTGGATTAAGTAATGGAAGAAATTTGCCTTAGCTGGATCATTACCCTTAGAGGTATGGTTTGTTGTGGGTGCATTAAAGACTTTATGACCCGACAGATTTAACGCGCATTAGACACCATTTACTGAACGGGAAGTCATCGAAGATCAAACCCACGACCTCTTGGACATGGGAACAGTGCTCTACCAACCAGGCTATACAGGCCCTAAAATTTCAATCCTAAAACGATTGAAGAACTCCTCCGCTTGCATCGGCGAATGCACAAATGCTTCAGAATGTATGGCGTAAAACGTACTACCGCTTAGATGTTGTTCATGTTCAAACAACTGCCGAATTTTTTTTTAAATACAAGACTTCAAATTATTCTTAAGTACTAACACCTTCGGAATTTCTCTAAGTCCAATCAGTTTAAAAATATTGCTAAGTCAAATATACCTCAAAATATTTCTAAGTAACAACAACGTCAGAAATTTTCAAAGTTCAAACAACTTCAGAATTTTTCTAAGTGCAAGACTTCATAATATTTCTAAGTTTAAAAACCTTCCGATTTTTTCAAAGTCCATGCAGTTTAAAAATAATGCTGTCAAAAAAATCTCAAAATATTTCTAAGTAACAACAACGTCTGAAATTTTCAAAGTTCAAACAATTTCTGAATTTTTCTAAGTGCAAGGCTTCAAAATATTTCTAAGTACAAACACCTTCTGATATTTTTCAAAGTCCATTCAGTTTAAAAATATTGTCTAATAAATCTCGAAATATTTAAGTAACAACGTCAGAAATTCTAAATTCATTTCTATTTTCAAAGTTCAAACAACTTCTGAATTTTTCTAAGTGCAATACTTCAAAATATTTCTTAAAATTTAGACTTTAAAAATTTCTTGAATAAAAAAACGGATATAAAAGGAATAGTATAAGTTTGCACTGATTAAAATTTTCAAATTATTTGGACTTCTTGAAAATTTCTTGAAGTTCAAATAAAGTCTACTTATAAATTTTTTTGACTTGTTTGGATTAAGAAATATTATTGAGAGCACTTTAAAACACTTTTCTAATTACAAACAATTTGAAAATTTTTGACGTCTAAACTTCTGCGACTCATATACCCATTTTTTTTGAATTTCAATTTTTGTATATTGTTGGAAAATTTTTCTGGTTGGAAAAAATGGGTATATTAAGTAATTGCAGAAGGTTGGACTCAGAAAAATTTTCATATTGTTTGGACGTAAGTATTTTGAAGATATTTGACCCTTTCAATTTTGAAACATTTTAATTAGTCGTGGCAAATGTAATTGTCTTTTAAATGGTTTGGACTATTGAACGATTTTTAAATTGTCTAGGCTTAGAAAAGCGTTTGAAATTGGATATGAATCTGTTTGTTCTCGGATAAATTGTTAAATATATTAAACTTAGAAATATTCTGAAGCTATAACATAAAATTTTTTTGAAGTTACTGAAAAGACGGATATCCTAAGTACTAAAAGTAAGGATTTGAAAAAATTACATGAACTGAAAAATATATTTGAATGGTTTTGGAACTGTACTTAGAGTAGTTTTCAATTTTTTTCGGCTTCTAAAGTTTATTGAACTGAGAAAATTTCTTGAAGTTAAAAAAAAATTGACGTCCTAAACTTAAAAATAATTAAAGAAAAAATCTAGCATATATGGAGAAGTAGAAAGTTTAATTAAGAATAATTCCTGAAGTTATTCAACCATAGTTTCCTGTTTGTATTTGAAAAAAAAAATATTTGAAATTTTTTAAATTTTTCTTAAAAAAATTTTAATATTTCCTAGAAAATGTTTTCAATTTTCTAAACTTAAGAAATATTTTATTTTGAAAAAAAATTATTTTTACTTAGAAAAATTGTCAAATTGTTTGAATGTAAAAAAAATTTCAAATTATTTGGATTGAAAAATATTTTGAAATTGTTTGAACTTTGAGAATTCCTTGAATTAAAAAAGAAATTGTATTTAGAAAATTTTTAAATTTTCTTGAATTGTCTTTCCAATTTTCTCAAATTGGAAAAAAAAATTGATTGTACTTAGAAAATTTTTCAAAGTGTTTGATCTTTGAAATAAACTGTAGTTTTTTTTAACTTGCAAAATATTTGAAGGTATTCGGACTTCTTGAATTAAAAAAAAAACAGCTATATGTGTATCAAATTGTTGGGTTTTTGAAGTTGCTCGGAAAAACAAATTCAAACAACTTTATATTGTTAATCAAACCCACAATCCTTTAATTGGTGCTTGAAACCACTATCATTTGATCAACGACCCGCAGTGGACTAATCGTTAAGACACGGCTCCCAACAGATCACCGAAGTCAAGCATCACTGGCTGCGGTCAGTGTGCGGGTGGGTGACCACTTGGATCAGTCTGCTTAGGGACGGAAGGTGTGCGGTATTGGTCCTCGTTTAACTGTTTTACCGTAAAGAGCTCAATTTCACGTGCAGTCGTCTGGCTACCGATAAGCGGGGGTGCCATCCCCTCTGCAGAGGATCAAAATTGTGATGGCATGTCTTCGGATCATCCTCAGGGATGTTTCCCAGACCCTCACCAATAGCTCATTGTGCAGCTCAAGTGCAACGTAAATGAACTACAACAACAGCAATGTAAAAAATAGCAAGATTTCGAAAACCGGAAGAAAGTTAGAAAAATTCCTTTGTATCCTTCCACTATGTTATGCTTACGAGGTGGTGTATGAGGAGGTTTGGTATATTCTAAGAAGTTTTATTTTTGTAATATTTTCTGCAATTTATAAATTTTAACAGATCGTTATCCTAAAATAAATTTACGAAAATTAATATTGTTGTTGTTCATTTACGTCACACTAGAGCTGCACAATGGGCTATTGGCGACGGTCTGGGAAACATCCCTGAGGATCCTCAGCCATCACAATTTTGATCGTCTGCGGAGGGGATGGCACCCCCGCTTCGATAGTCCGACGACCTGCAAGCGAAGTCGAGCACTTTACGGTAGAACAGTTTAACGAGGACCCATACCACATACCCTCAGTCCCTACGCAGGCTGATCCAAGTGGTCACCCACCAACACACTGACAGCAGCCAGTGATGCTTGACTTCGGTGATCTGCTGGGAACCGTGTCGTAACGATCAGTCCACTACGGGACGAAAATTAATATCATAACATAAATAAAGTGTAAGGCTTGCCACGTTTTGAATGTTATCACTTGTTTGGCTACAATTATGCAAAATATTGCCGTTGCTATTTTTTGGGTTACACGATAGCATGCTTGCGGGGTCTACCGAGTTTATTTGTTTTGTTAGAAGTTAAATTGAAAAAACTCTTAATATTGGAAATTTACAAATGTACTAATAATGAATGGCGTGCTTTTCTAAACTTTTGCGTAACAAATAATTTAAGTAGCAACCCTAAAGTTTTGCGACTCATTTTAATCCCTAACGCCATCTGTGCATACCTTTGCACGGTTACTCATCTATGTAATTAATAAGCAAGCTACAAGCAATATACTGCAAAGAGCTTCAAAAATGCTCATCAGTTACCATCAATCAACAAAATTTAATCAACAAATCTGCTCAAAATTTATATTACAAATAAATTTACCTTAAATTTTTTTTATAATGGAACTTGATATTTGGGAGGGTGATTGGACTCTTCCATCCGTAGATTTAACTTGTTTGCAAGTGATGGTATTTGTTGATTTATTTCACATATCGCAAATATTGTATTTTACTGCAAATAATGGTGCTGAAAAAAAAAAAAATTCCAGGCTATTATAATTTTTCTAGCTTAGATAAATTTTTTCTAGATGCGTTATCCTACAAGTCTCACTTTTTTTCTTGTTTTTGTGTTTGGGATATTTTACTATATCCATTATCATTGTTAGATGTGACCAGACGTAACCAGTGTTTCCTTTTTTATACCAGATATTGCAGGGTAACTAAATACTTAAACGAGCAAACAGTAACGAAACATGTCAATATAATTACAAACTAATAATATTTAATAATGCATTTGACATTTTGGAGTAACAAACACGTCCTCCAATCACCAGTCTCTTTTCACAAATGTTTTATGTTCTTCAATTTTAAAACCAAAGTGGGGAGTGAAAAGAAGGAGATAATTTAGCTGATGACTCATTTCTCTGTTGTCTTAATTGGCTGATGATTCATTTCTCTGTTGTCTTAATTGGCTGAGGCCTCATTTCTCGGAGTATTGTATTAAAATATCATAATGCAAGTAAAAGTATCAAAAATCACAAAGTATTAAATATCATTATCTGGAAATAAGAAATCTCTAAAAATATTTTTTGATTCTAATAGGTTATCATTTAAAAGCTTCTTTTCCTGAAATGACTTGAGATAAAAGTTTATTAAATACTAATGTTTCATTGCTCTGGTGGCCAATGGTAGCACATTAAGGTCACAATTTCTCATTTTATTATAATTTTAAAAAGATTTATTTAAAAAAAATTTGATTAGCGATATTTCCATATTGGCAATAAAAAGACAAAGATACTTGCAGAAATTGAAAAATTTTTTTTAGTGATTTGCCAGAGGCTGGCAAATTTTTTTTGAACAGGTATCGCTTCAGAAGTTTCTGAGAATAAACGAAAAGCAGTTCTTTTCTTATTTTTCTTGTGGGACAAAATTCTATAGAATAGATTTTTTTTTTTTAAAAAAATGTGATTCAATCTTATTTGGAATCTTAATTTCAAACTATTTTATCAACAAAATGCTTCCGCAAATCGTATTTATGATACTTTTTCGTGGGGAGAAAGGTTAATTAAAAAAACAAAATTTCAATTACGTATTTTACTCTGATTTTAAAAATTCTATGTTAATCATTTTTACGTCATTTTACTCAGTCGATTCAAATACATTTCAGGAACTGCCTTTTGTATGATTATAGACTTTTTCAGAAAATGTGCAATATTTTATTTCTTCATTAATACATTTTGGAAAACCTCAAATAACTTTTCTATTCTTAAGTGACAGAGGGGTGGAAGTTGTATTTTTAGCCCACCGCAGCATGTGGAATTTTTAGCCCACCGCAGCATGTGGAAGCATCTGTAATTTCAGTAATTGTAATTATTCCATGGTATCTGCGCACCTGAAAAATCATGGAAAGTCATGAATTTTGGTCGTGAACAAAACGTGTCATTAAATGTCATGATTTTAGCTATTTTTTTCAAAACAAATCGTGGATTTAGGTCTCTGAAAAATCTAATTTTTAAAATGGAATTACTCCCCCTCCCCAAATTTCATGGTGTTCCAAATGTCTGAATTTGTAACAAAATACCCACTCACAGTTATATTTTATTAAAATATAAAATGTTTTTATCATGTTCTTTAAAAATTATGGTGTTCTTTCAAAAAATGAAGGGGAAAAAAATTCTTTCTCGATTGAATTATCTTTTAAACTTCCGTGATTTCAGAATTTTTGTTGTTATTTTTTTTTTTTTATTATTTATCAATTTAAAATTATAGCTGAAGCAAGCCTGTCATTGGCGAATTTTGTTTATTCTGAAATGAGAACAGAAAAATCAGGAGTATTTTTTCCCTTTCCAATGAACAAGAATATAATTCTACAGAGAAAAAATTTTTTTTCACTTTTGTTATTTTTCAGCTATTTTATTGCTTCAACTCTTTCTTTACTTTGTTTTTTAAATTTAAAATCTATAAATATGAAGATGCAGAGTATAACAGTTTTGGTAATACCAATCATTTCAATTATAATGCTTTTATAAATTTATTGTTGTGTTTTCGTCGGGAGAAAATAGTAACTTCGTTAAGTCCTGAAAAATTATTGGAATTAGTCATGGAAAGTCATGAATTTGAAAATCAAAAAAATAGCAGGTACCCTGTTATTCCCTTTTTTACAAAAAGTGTATTTATTCAATTTGTCTGTCTTTTCAGACTAGCAGGTTTTTTTCAATAGGATTAAACATTCCGGAAAATAGATATTTCATGAACATATGTACTCTAATTTGTCACAATTGTTTTAATTATTGTTAATTGTATTGTAACTTAATTAAAATATGTATATTTTATAGGCTTATTCTAAGTTTTCTGGTGCCCCTATTAAAGTTCTGAAGACTAACTGGTGTTTGTCAAGATATGGTAAATAAAGAAATGACTTATTTCTTCTGATACATACAATGAACTACTCATTGTAAAAGGTATTTTTATAGTTGTGAAAGTTTTCAGGAAATTTTCTAATTCATCAAGTTAATAAGCAGACATACATAATCTCCACAAACACTGTTCACAAAAAATTTTTCACCATTGTGGAAAAGTTTTTAATATTACTCATTACTATTGAGCGAAAACTTAAATTATGATGTTACAGTAGCGAACCGATTATCCGGAATGCTCGGGACCATCGCTATTCCGGATAAATGGCGGAAAAATTTATCGAATTTCGTTCCGGTTTTCTCATTTCCGGATAACGGTTTCTGTACTGTATATACATGCATATTTATTACCGTCGTTGAACAGCTGACCAAATATAGGGTTTACAGCTACTAATGTTCAACTGAGTAGCCTTGTCATTTTCAACCCAATCCAGAAGACAAGGGAACTTCTGAATCAAGTAGTGGGAGAAATTTGCCTTTGTGAAAGACTTTTTTGATGGAACATTTGTGTTACTTGCTGTGGGAAACCACAAAAACCATCTACGGTTAGCCCAATGGCAAGGGTGCTCTGACCCATGATCCGTCGATCACTGAGGATATTTTAGGTCAGCACTCTGGTCGGTGTGAGCCGGGTGCGAAATTTGAATTCACCAGCTTCTGGGATCGAACCCGGGTCAACTCACTAATAGGCGAATGCTCTATCCCCTGAGCCACCACGACTCATTCAAACATATATTTTGCTTAAATATGGTTAAAATAGTATTTTTCAGTTATAAAATATATTGAAATAATTCACTTTTATTGTTCTTTATTTTTGTCCTATATTGTAAAATAAGTAGCACAACAAAGCAAGATTATTTAAGTATAGAAGAATGGAGAAATGATTCTTATGAAATGTGATTCTTAAAATGCTTCTCCGTGAATATTTCGATTGCAGAAAAAGTTAAGCATGAAAGAAAACAAAATAAATCAATAACTCAATTTATATCTTTATAAAGCTGCTAAATTTAGAAAAATATATGCTGATATGTATATAGCCTATGTAACAAAGTAGTTTTTTATTTTTTGAAATTAAAAAACTTTTAAAAGTAATTGTCTAACTAATTTTACCAAAATTAGAGGATGATAAAAAGGTTAAAACTAGTTGCATTAAATTGCTTGCTGAAAGTTTTTTATTTTAGATTTTGTGTGCACAAAAAGCTTTCATTTTATCCAAGTTTGTTAATTAGTGTTGTAAAATTAAATACTCATTCATTAAAGGCTACAAGTTAACAAAACGAGTTTTTTCATCAAGTCAAAATGTGATGCAATTTTGAATTTTTTCCTTCCAACAGGAAGAAAGAAACAAAAACATTAACATAGGAATCATGATTCAAAAGTTTTTAATGTTTTTAAAGCTTAAAAGATAAAATATAATAACATAATTCTTTGTAATAATGTAACTCTTTATTAACTATGTATAATATATGAGTAATTAAAGAAATAAATGAATGTAATTTTTAAATTTACTAAATTGTTATGAATATCTAAAATAAAATATGTACAGAAATAACTGGATATTTATAAATAAATAAATAAAATGAATATTCGATAAAATATTTTGTTTACTAAATTGATTTATGAATATCTGAAATTAAAGCTTTTTATGTATTATAATAACTGCATATTTCTCAACAAAAAAGTAAGATGAATCTTTGACAAAATATTTTATTTACTAAATTGATCTATGAATATTTGAAAGGAAAAATTAATATATTCTGCCTATTTGTCTACAAAAAAGAAAATGAAATTCTTAATGAATTCCATTTTTCGGAACAGGCATTGTGATTCAGGAACCTTCTCAAAATACAAATAAAAATCAGTTCTTTTATTATTCCTCTGTTCGGAAAAAGTTTCTGTTAATGATGATGCTGACACATTTCATTAAAAGCTAGAAATGTGATGTGATATCACTTTATACAATCTAAAATTTGTTTTCAAAAACTTAGTAAATTTTGATTTCAATTTTTCTACAAACACTTTTCAAACTGTGCAAACATCAAGATTCTATAATCACACCTGGGAAGTCATGAGAAATCATTTCACAACTAAATTTGTTGTTAAATGTCATGATTTTAACTATTATTTTTTTAAGAAAATCGTGGATTTAGGTCACCCAAAATTCTAATTTTTAAAATGGAATTTAATCTCCCCCAAAAAAAACATTTAGGTAAATTAAATATTTAGATAAATTAAAAATGTGCATTGAGTTTCTTTATGTAATAAAATAACATTTATGCAAGCCATTACATCTTTTAAATTTTTATTCAAATTGAAGATATGTAGGTTATTATTTAACAAAACTTTTATTAAGTTTAAATTTCACATTTAAAAATTAAATTGAATACGCATAAATAAATATTTTTATGTAAACAAAAATGATAAATGCTTCATTAATCCATAATTTTTGTGATAAGAGTTACAAAGTATTGTCATTGAAAAAGTTACAATCTTATCAACTTATTATTCACTATTGAATGACATGTATATATAAATTGAACTTTTTACATTTTTATGGTCTTCATTATATTTATTTTAATATAAAAAAATTGGACAATTGTTTTATTTCAAATTAGAAACCAATGCAATAAATTAATTATATATTATTGATTTGCCTGTAGACAAATTTTTGACCCTACCTACTTGTGCAAAGTGTTTTAGAATAACTTTGCTTTCTTATATTGTTATCATTAAAAGTGAAATCAAGCTTTTACCATACTGTTGAGGTGTTAGGAATCTTTACTTCAATTAAAATTACAACTATAGTTTATCTAAAGTGAGAACTCCGTTAGACATTTGTCTGAACCTGTGGTGGTGACTATGGTAACAAGATATAACTATTTCAAGTAAGGGTCATTGTTTAGGCCCGTGTCAGCGAGAGAAAGGGAATGTCTTTTTCTACTATGTCAGACCCTAGAGTGAAGAGAAACTACCCTCCCTGAAATGTGCTATTCTTGTTTCCATAGCAGCAGACAGTGGGGGGGGGGAGTTCTTACCATAGACAAACTATACTTTTTACTAGTTTTTAAGAATAAAACTGGATGAATTATTTATGCTATTATATTTATATTATTACTATTTATAATATAATTATTTGTTACTAAGTTATAAGGAAATTATTACTTTTTATAAGATAATAACTTTTATTTTGCTATAAAATTGCATTTTTTAATAGCATTTTAATTTTTTTAGGTCATTTACCCGTGTTTCGGCATACTAAAAAGAATACTTTAACGACATTTGATAATATTGTGTCATATCTTCAAAAGCAGGTATTTATTTGCTAGATCAAAGCTATTCTCAAAATAATTACATTTTTCTGATGCATGTGGATCTATTATCTTTACCTGTGAATATGACTTGAATTTTAGTGTGAGAAAGTACAAAGTGGTATTTTAAAGTATCCTTTACTTTAGAGGAATTCCTCAAACATAAATCAAAATACAGACCCAAATGTTGTAATTTGAAAGTTCCATTTACAGTAAAACCTCGCTATTTTGGGGACCAAATAAATATATTGTTGTAGAGGGATGTATTGTTATATCGAGGGACTATATGCTTTGGGGACACAATAGGACTTTTTTTAATTTTAATGTTATATACAGGGGTCTGTCCAGGCAGAATTTACTACCCTTTAGCGGTATCTTCACAAATTCAACTTTAGGAAGAACGATAGTTTCACAAATTCAATTTTAGGAAAAACGGTAGTTTCACAAAATACTTCTTAAAATTTTATTTTTGTATCCCTTAAGAAATGATAAATCCATATTTTTGTATTGATTTTTTAATATAGTTTTTAATTCTTCACGAATTATGTCTTAAATTTTCACAAAATCGGTACCTCTCAGAAAAACCTAGACAGACCCCTGATATATGTATTTACTATAAATGTATATATATTAATTTGCAGATAGGTTAATTAGGGTTAAATGTTAAAAGCAATTGAAATAAAATAAGAGAGCAAATATACCTGAAAAACTGTTTTTATTGAAAATAATCTGATATTTTTGTTTGTTTATTCATTTTTCTGACTATTAGGTCAACCAACAAAGTATGCATTGAGTTTTGAAATACGAGAATGATTTTCATTTGTGATTGGTGCTCTACCCACCCTGAAAAAATTCTCTTTCGTGTGTTAATATGATGCATGTGTTCATTTGCGATTCATGATCAGGTTTTAACATGAAGGAAACGAAATCAGATAGGAATGTTACGTCTGTGACTTGTTAAGAGATAAGGAAGGCAATTCTAAGAATAGAAGCTCTTGGGGTGGTCAGCAGTGAGTCTTTTCTTGTCAGAAGAAAAATGGCAAAAGAGGATAAATAAGATTGTTTACATTATTTGAAAACTAATAATAAATGCAAAAAATAAGGTCGAAATTCGGGGGGAAATCATTTCACAGCGGCTTATTGCTTCAGAGAATATCATCATATTGAGAGGAGAATAAGATTAATTCATATGAAAGTTTGTCGAGACCACGAAACATTATCTTAATAGAGAGAGTTATTGTTGTATTGGATACCGTAATAGCGGGAGTTCACTGTATTATAATAGTGAAAAAAGCTCTCCTTTAAACCTTAATGAAACTATTTTGCATGACAGGAAAAACAATTCCTTATTAGAATCAGCATTTGCACATTTCTGGTATTATTTTTCAATAAATAAGTGATTTATTATGCGCTCAATAAGGAAAATGTATCTTACAATTTTTCTGAAAGAAGAAAGTAATAAACTATAACATACATTTCTTTAAAAAAAGATTATATTTTCTCATACTTATCAAACACTATCCTCTTCATTTATTTTTTCTCTACATCAATTTTCAATTAACCTTCTTTTGGCAGAACCCTGACTTGAGAAATAAAATGTATAAAAACAATGGTATTAACAAATAAAGGAATTAATTTTGAAAATACTCAATAAGAGAAGGAAAATTTTTTCATCATAAATATTCCCAGTCCTAGAGATAGGAATTTGTCTAGTGAAGGATTTGTTTTCGGTGTGAAATAATAAAAAAAAGAAAAATTGAAAAATCATGTAAAAAGCATTTACAAACTACAATTCCAATGGAAAGTTGTGTACTGCAACAGAAGTTCCATAAGCAAATTTAAACCAATAGAAGATTTAAAAAATAAAGAGTTTAATACTGAGAACTGATGTTGACGTTGTCAGCCGGGTACCAGCCCCAGAAGTCACAAAACCTATTCTATCTTGAGAGCACAACAAATGTCTAAAATTTGCTGTCTCTCTGCACCCCCGAAAGTTTTGCAAGAAATCCAGGAAGAGAGGTAAAGAGAATACAAAAGTAAAATACATAAACTAATTAGAATATTAAAAATAATTTTCAAAAAACTTACTTAAAAAATATTCCTTTGCTAAAACAAAAGCACACTACATTCTGAAGACCCTTAACCAAACTGAAATTCACAAACAAACAATTAATGTGCAGAAAGAAGAAAAAAAGGAGAGTAAGAAAGTTGTTGCCATCTAAAAAGCTTAACTGGGGGGCAACTCAGTTTAGTCTCAATCTAGCCCTATTAAAAGAAAACAAAATAATATCATGCAAAATCAGGTAAAATAATTTTTAATCATTTGTACAATTTTACCTTCAATATTGTGAAAATTGAAAGGAAAACCATTGCTTTTAAAATTATTTAAAAAATTACTAGTAGCCTCTTGAAAGTATTCAACATTATTGCAAATTTTTTTAATTCTAGACAGTTTATAAAAAGCTAAATGTTTGAAAATATTACTACACAAATTCGTATCAAAATTACGGAAAAAAATAAGCCTAAAATTAAAAGCCTTCTTTTTATCAAAAACATAAATTTTAATTGATTATTAGCAATATTAATTTTAAATTCTATATATTCAACATTTAAATAATTATCATAAGTCCTCTTCAAAACCAAATTTTCAGGATAAATATTAAAAGCAAAATCATAATTAAATAAAATTAAATCATCTCTAAAGCTTTAAAATCAATTCAAGAAACTTTGCTTCAAAAAAATATTAGCAAAAGCTACAGAAGAAGAATTAACTTGTGGTATCCCTATTTTTTGTTTATAAAAATCAATGCCATTAAAAAGAACATTTTCAAAAAGATTAAATTTACAAATGTCAGTTCAATAATTTTTATCAATATTTTCATTAATGAAATATTTTTCATAAATGTAACTACAAATATCAAGTATTTTAGCATGACGTATACTGATATAAAGATTTTCAAAAACAAATGTATTAATACTAAAAACTTGATTTTTTTTTCAAAGTTCAAAACATCAATATTACTATTAATAACAATATTTTTCTCACTTTTAATTTTAAGCAAAATAATTTTAAGATTATTAAAAATATTCTGCTGCTATTAGAATTATAACCACAAGCTATAAATCTGAATTTTACTGTATTAGAAGCTATGAAATTTAACAATCGGAAATAAATAAGGATAAGTAATTCTATTCAATTTAATTTTTTACTGAAGGCAATAATCCTTTTGTCAATAACTTTTTTGTGATCCATTAATTTAAGATAAGTCTTATTAGTATTATGTTCCTTAATAATCAAATTTTTTTAAAAATATTTGCACATAATACAAAAGTTATTAAAAGCTTTATCAACAACTGCAATAATTTACTTATTTTTAAGTTTTTTAATTTTCTCAAACGTGTCATAATCAATAACTGTACCACTTGGATAAAAACGAAAATTAGATTTGTTTAATTTATTTTTTACACTTTCAACAATCCTTGTTTTCCATTCTGTAAAACCTAAAATGGGCCAATGATATTTTCTAGAAATCTTAGCAATTGACCAATCTAGTTTCCTTTTAAGTGATAAAGTTGAAATTCCTTAGCAGTAAAGAGCTACCCAACATTTAAATAGTGAAATGAAAGCATTAAAATAAATCGAAACAAAAGTTAAATTTTATTTTTAAATTTAAAAAAAATATATATATATTTTAACGAAAGTACTTTCAGCTGTAACAGTGGGCAATCAAAGGGGTAGTATAAGGGGGTCCTTTTTTTCTAGAAAACTCCAGATTTATTTCCTGTGTATTTATGTATAAATATCCACATATATATGAAATAAATTTGCATATATTTATGAAACTAAAAATAAACAAACAGTTTTTGAAAAAATAAGAAGCGTGCTTCTTCCAACGGCGATGTCTATTGATTTTTTTATTCTGACTATTTTTAAGATGAAAATTTTTCTTTATTTTTATAAGTTCAGGGTATCCGAGCACCTGAAAAGTCATGGAAAGTTATAAATTTCGGTATTGAACAAAATTTTTCATGATTTTAAAAAAATTTTTTAAAGAAAGTCATGGACTTAGGTCGCTGACAAATCTAATTTTTAAAATGGAATTTAAAAATACCCCCCCCCTTTCTAGGTGTTCTGAATATCTGAATTTGTAATAAAATCCCCACTCACAGTCATATTTTATTAAAATATAAAATGTTTTTATCATGTTCTTTAAAAGTTATGGTGTCTTTTCAAAAAATGAAAGAAAGAACATTTCTAGAACAAATTATCTTTTAAACTTCTGTGATTTCAGAATTTTTGTTATTATTTTATTTTTTTTTTTTTTAATTTTATCAATTTAAAATTCTAAGCTGAAGCAAGCCAGTCATTGGCGAATTTTTTTTAATTCCGAAATGAGAACAGAAAAATCAGGAGTATTTCTTTCCTTTCGGATGAACAAGAAAAGTATCTTTAGAGTATAATTCTGCAGAAAAAAATTATTTGCTTTTGTATTTTTTCAGCTATTTTATTGCTTCAACTCTTTCTTTACTCAGTTTTTTTAAATTTAAAATCTTTAAATATGACGATGCAGTGTATAACAGTTTTGGTTATACCTATCATTTCAATTTATGTTATTGTAATGTGTTTTTTGCCGGAGAAAATAGTAACTTCTTTAAGTCATGAAAAATTCTAGGAATTAGTCATGGAAAGTCATGAATTTGAAAATCTAAAATGTAGTAGATACCCTGTAGGTTGCTTCTCATAAAATTAGTGGAATCAAAAGTCCTGCAGTTAGTTGTTGAGCGGTACCTACCTACCTACCCTGTTGTGGAAGAAGTATTGATTACCTTAAATTCAAGCAAAGGGGTGGCCTCTTCAGCATGTTTTACCTTTGCTTAATGTTGAACTAGATTATTTTTAAAATGCTGTTTACTTTGCCTTTGAAGCAAGTTTATAACTAAACAGACAACACATAGTAATTCTATAGTTTAAAATAAATGTGCAATTGATTAAAAATTATTTCTTAAAGAAGCATGGCACACTAGACACCTGAAAATAATAAATGTGAATTTAACTGGTACCCTCATTGGAAATGGTTCACCATCTCCGTAATACAGTGTCGAATACATTCAAAATCATTTAAATGTGCTGTGTTTAAAATGGGGAAAATGTTTTCTAAGTTCTGGACAATTTTCCCTCGCTTCTCAATTGCGGTGTTTGAAAGTATTTGGAGTATTGATTATAGCTTCATGCCACAGGTCCCTGGTTCGATCCTCGGGCCGGGCAAGGTTGACTCAGTCTTTCATCCCTTCAGCGGGTCGATAAATGAGTACCAAGCATGCTTGGGAACTAAAAACTGGAGGTTCCGTGTCGGCTGACCACCTGACCGGAACATCTGCTCTTGCACCCCAGAGCCCAAGGTCAAGAAAATTGAGATAGGCACAGTAGGCCTTGGCCCTCTATGGGCTGTCGCGCCGCTGAGTTTAGTTTACAGTTTATTGAGAGAAGTAAATATTCAATGCCAAAAATAACAGTTGGTAAAAGAATGTTAAAAAATTTAGTGCGCAAAATAAATGTTAGAAATTTCCAGTGTTTCATAATTACGGACATCTATTGATGCATCCAACTATTTATGGTATAAAAGATGTCTTTCATCATTCTTATCAAGTCTCTTTTTTTAATATAATATAATTCAAATTTTGATAGAATGAATGAAGATTTCACATTTAGTTACTGATGGTTTTTCTTTTCATTAGAATTATAATGCTGATGTTGACTTAAGTCCGAAACAGTGCTCAGATATAATTGCATATACTGCTTTACTGAGAGACAAGCTTTATCCTGCATTGGTAAGTTTTTTTTCTATAAATTGCATTATTTTTTCTCTACATATGTTTAGTAATGTATTTAAGAAGATGTGTGATCAGATATTTTAAATGACTGTCACCAATAAAATTATCTCATAAAATTATAATTCTCATTAAAGTAGGATCCAGACTATTTTCATTAAAGTAGGATCCAGACTATTTTCATTAAAGTAGGATTCAGACTATTTACAGACTATTTTCATTAAAGTAGGATCCAGACTATTTTCATTAAAGTAGGATCCAGACTATTTACAGACTATTGTCATTAAAGTAGGATCCAGACTATTTTCATTAAAGTAGGATCCAGACTATTTACAGACTATTTTCATTAAAGTGGTGCTCCAAGTTGAAAGAGGGAGCCGATAATGGCCTGGCAGTCAAAAACATGGTCTGGAGTTAGTTGCAAATGAGGACAGTACTTGCACATGGGATAGAATTTTATATGGGTGCGTGAGATCTTCATGCCCTTGAAATGTCCAGTACGTAGCCTAGCTATTGTAGAGGAGAGGTTTCTTGGGCAGTTTGGATCGGGGATTGTTGCCTTGCTAAAATGCTGGTTGTATATCCTTCGCGTGGCGACAGCATTCGCATCTGCACAGGTGACAGCTCGAGGTTGATCTTCGCCGCGTGCTTCCTTTGCAAGGGCACCTGCGCATTCGTTTCCCTCGATTCCAACATGAGCTGGGATCCACTGGAGAGTGCAACGGATATTTAATAAATGAAGAAGGGTATTAATTTCATGCGTTATTGATGTATTACCGTTACGTATTGCTTCGAGTGCTGATTTTGAGTCTGAGAAAATCACGATTTCTTTTATTGAGTCTTTTAGAGATTGCGAGTGACAATAGGCAAGAGCCTCTTTAATAGCGATTAATTCGCTGGTGAAGTTCGAAGCAATTTGGCCAGTGGGTATTTTGAGTTTGACGTCATTTCCTGAGGGGCAAGTGATGGAGATGCCAGCACCACCTCTATTATAGTCAATATCAGAGGAACCAACTTTTTATGAATATGTTTTATGATTAATACTGTTTTATGAATAAGAAATTATTTTGAATATTTTATTATATTCTAAAAATTACTACACGTCGCACTTGTTTCTTAACATTTTTCTTTATTTTGAAAGTGAATTTTGTAATATTTACCTTACTTTAAGACATGCTTTAAAGAAAACTTACATTATGAAAATTAAAAATTTTTTAATTGTTTGAAATTATAAATTTTTGGAAAACGTGGAGACTCTTAAAAATACTACAGCTGGCAAAATGACCTAATTTTGTTCATAACTGCCGCCTCTTAAATATTTTTCTTGTTTGCATTCTGCACTTAGCGTGACATGTTTTTACAAGCGGCTGATTCCTATATTTCAGGGCAGGTAGTCACAAGCCTAGTGTATTTATGATTGTCAAAAGTTTTAAGATCTGCTGTTTACACTCTTGGAATATACGTAAATCCCATTTTTCGATAATTTACTTCAATTTCGTTCAACTAACTATTTTAAGTGTTGAATAATGACTATTCCGCTTGAAAATGTGATAAATTATGTAGTATTTTCACATTTTATTTTCAACATACTGTTGTCGTTGGCCATGAAGGAAAGAGGTACGATTGTTCTTGTTTTCCAGTCGCGCAGCCAAAAATTTGACTTCTGTCACACACATTTATCGAGTGCACCCATTCATTCATCCACTGCTTGTAATTTAGACCAGATCCAGTGAACAACCCATCTCCAATCCAGTACCCCAAGAGGTATGATTTGTAAGTGCTTACATGGAGGACTTTGTGACCTGGAAGGTTTAATGTGCACCAGTCACCATTTACTATGTGGGGAGCCTTCAACCAGCTGGATACAAACTTCTGTTCTTACGAACTCGAGCCCAGCACCCTATCAACCAGGCTATCTCGGCCCTCAACATACTGGCAGAGGTGATTGTACCGGAAATCCAAGGTTCAGAAGTTTCAAGAAATTATCGATCACGTTTATGTCTAAAAATTCTTGTATATTTTATATAAAAATATTAGAACTAGAATTTATACTTGGCATCTCTTACATTTGTAAATATTTTTTTTGGTAGAATAATGAAAGTGATGAGATAAAAGTAAACTTATACATAATTAATTATTTAAATAATGCTGCATGTAATTCATTAAGAATATCGTGTTATGAAATATCAATGATTTAAATTTATAAAGACATAAATTTTTTGAAATGCGTCATTAATGATTTTACTCAAGAAATTTTCAGGATTTTTGAGTTGGGCTCGCAATCGCCCCTGTAATGGTGAAAATATGACGTGAAGTTTTGGTTTTATGCAGCATCATTACTCAACTGTTTAATTTCTTTTCAGCTGTATGTGTGGTGGGTGGATGAAAAGAACTATTGTGAGCTGACACGCCCATGGTATGCTAAAGTGCTACGTTTTCCCCTCAACTACTTCCTTCCTGGTCATCAGCAGAGGGACGCCGTCAAAAAAATCCAAACTCTTTGGAATAGCAGTGATCTCATCAATGAGGACCAAAAAGAAATTGCTGTAAGTTTAGTGATTAAGGGCCAAGTGATGTCGTGTTTAGATGATATTCTGATAAAGGGGTGGGTAACAAGGAGCATTTTGGTTAAAATAAAAACATTTACTATGGTGGGTAGCGTTTTAAAAAGTCCTTAAAGGTGCTTATTTTCGATTTTCATTTTTTCAAAGCCCTTAACAATTCTTTTTTTTATTGGGTGTTTTTAAAAAGTGCTTAATTTTTCGCTTTTCGAAATTGAGGATTTTTTTTTACCATGTTGATTTTCATCACCTATTATGCAAAAGCTTGGTTTTCACATTGTTTTATTTAACGTTTTTGCAAATCATTCAAGTACAATGTATTTTGGCGTATTATCGTTCCATAGCGTATGAAAGCGCCAATCATTTTACATGTTTGATGAAATGCTTTCAGGTCCGCTTGTGCTTATACTAACTGGATTCAGTGGAAATTATTCTTGCATTATCATGTGCAACTCGGCTGCATTTTGCGAGAAATTCTCAATTTCAGGCTTCATTTTCCATCCTCTGAAATTGAACCTAAAAATCTCTCTATCTTTTTATGGTGGCTAATGTAATGAAGAAAAGATTTCCTTTTCAGAAACTAGTTATTTTATTATTGATCATGCAAAACCTTTTAAAATTGTTTTGCATTTTGTAAATGTATATAGTGCTTAAAAATATTTTTAAGTTGTAAAAAGCACTTAAAATCTGCTTCTTTTTTGTTTAAAGATTTGCCTATGCACTCTGATTTAAAATCAGCAAATTAAATGTTTTGAAAATGTTTTTACATCCGAATAAGTATACATATTATGCTTTAAAATTTCATTTAAACACATAGTTTAAGAAAAATGAATGCTTGTTTTGTTTCTGAACTGCTAGTAATGTTTTTTTTTTAATATCTATTAATATACTTCCTAAATTGTGATTAAGATTTTCCGTTGTAATATTTTCTCATATTAAACACTTATTAAAAGGTTGTTTTCGTCGCTGTTTTAAATTCCTCAAAACTATTGACAGCAAAATCAGCTTGCCAAGAATATTATATGACAGCGGTTCCTTCTTTTTGCTATGAAACCCTAAATATCCTTTCATTGCAACTCTAAATTTATGCTTAAAATTTATTGGAAATTGTGACTCCATGCAGAACTGGATTAAGAACCTCAGAGACACTTAAAAAACTTTGATACTCCTTAAATGTAATCAAGATGATACACACGAAAAGAAAATATTTTTCTTAAATGAAATTTAAACTAAGTTTACAAAAATAAATAAATTAATATAACGGGCAAATTTAACTTCTTTTGTAAGGGAAATATAAATTCTTCCATTAACTTTTAGAAGGATTTTCTACGCTAATCACATGTTCTGTTAAGTAAAATAATTTTAAAATTTCTGGTGTTTTATTTTTTTTTAAATTTATTGTCCAACAATTTTTTTATCCATTCAAATTTTATGTAATGTAACCTAAGTTTTTATTCAAACTCTTCAGGTATTTTGTAATGTCTTCTAATATGCTTTTTAAATTTTTGCTAAAAATTAAGCGAAAATTTTTTTTTTCACTAAGAGTCTCGAGAATGCTGAGAAACCTGTGACAGTTCTCCGTGAATTTATAAAAGTTTTCTTATTACCTACATTATTTATTATTATTATCATTAACAGAATTAACTCACTTTAATGTTTTTAAGGATGGATTGGTAACTCCCCTTTAGAAGGTAATGCGTTCAACGTTAAGTGACTTTTCACCACTTGAAAAACGTAGTGTTTAAAATTTATTTGACATTATTATTTTCTTTATTAAAATGAATTAATGAGGGGCATACAAAAATATTCTATATATTTAATATGTTGAATATACAGTTAAATTAAAGATTTGAATTAATAATAAATTAACTTTGTAATTGAACCATTATATGTTACTTCACTTTGATTTCATTTCTGTGAAAATTATTTACAGAAAGTGAGTTTTATATATAAGTGAAAGCATCACCTATCAGCAACACTTAATCACCTTTTGGGGATTTTGAACGTCATTAAAAGCATCCTAACTACTGTCAACACAGATACCAGAATTTTCGTATTGGCAATTTAGTTGCTTCTTTGAGTTCTTAAGGATGTAAAGAAAATTTTGGACACTTTCAAAGTTCCTTTGTGGAAATAATACTGAGAAACAGTATGCTCTTTGGAAAAGTGTGCCTTGTCATTTTATTTCTGCAAGACCTTCATATATATATATTTTAGTTTATATTGATTTATTTTTTTAATTTAAAATTCTTCATATTGAGGTTAAAGGTTCTAAAAAAGCTTTAGTTTTACTTCTCTTCATTTGAGTGTTAACTCTATTACTAACTTCTGTAAATGATTCTGCCAAAATAACCACAAATATTTTTAAAGTGAAAGTAATATTATGTTATGATTATTATAAAATGAAAAAAAAGCTATAATTTTATGTTAAAACTTAAAGCATTAAACCTGTAATTGTTTTTTTTTTTTTTTTTTTTNTTTTTTTTTTTTTTTTTTTTTTTTTTTTTTTTTTTTTTTTTTTTTTTTTTTGCTGAAGATCATAATTTTTAATATTTTTTCCTCTTATGGATTAAAAATATTATTTATGACATGTTTTAGATATTTAACTGCTTGTATTGTAAAAATATCTGCAATATTTTTAAAAGTAAAAGCAGAATAAATACTGTGAGGCTTTTTATTTCAAGTATGGAGTTATGTGAAGGAAAATAATTAGTTAATATGTAATGCAATATGATATTGGGCAGGAAAATAAAGTACAAAAATATAATATATATAAATAAACATTCATTTAACTATCTTTTATTAAATCTGTGTGCTTAACTTTAAATATGGAAAAAAAGTTAATATTCATCATTTGCAGTCAATTTAATAATAATAAAAAAATATTTATTATTTTCAAAATAATTTAAGAGCAGTATATTGGAATTCCTTTTGATACGGATTTGGTTTAAGAAGTATCTAAAGAATTGACGCATACATTACAAATAAAATAGAGAAAGATTTCTTTATTGAAATTTAATTGCTCCTTATATTTTGGTGTGGAATGTATTACTTTGTTGCAGAATGCATGAGTTTATTAATTTTAATGCTGTGGTGAAATAATTTTCTGTTCAAAAGGGGAAGAAATGGGAGATAATGTTGAAATATTTTCTTGTAAGAGTTTGAAGTCAAAGTTTTAGTTATCTTTTCATAAATATTTTTCTTGTGTATACATTTAATCATACATTAATATTTAAAAATACTTTTAAATTACAATTGGACTTCTATTTAACAAACTTCTATTTTGGTTGCTAATTTTTTCGACGAACGAAAAACATTTTAGAAATTTCTTTGTAAAGTGACTTCCAAATAGCGAGAAAGTGAATTTTCTATTTTGAGCAAACTTTGAGATCCACTTTCTTTATTTCCCAAAATATTTTGAAATATTTAAAACTTGTTAAAAGCATTTTACGGAGGAAATTACCTTGAATACGTTCTTGAAGCCACTTAAATCTTGGAGAAAGCAGTGAAGTACCTTTCTCTTTTTGTTTGCACTTCAAACAAAAAACCCAGAGAAAATGAGTGGATTTTATCAGTAGCAATTATTTTTAAGAACATGTATGTGGTAATCTATGTTTAAAATTACTCTTATAATAAAAGCAGCTATAATTTATACATACATATAGATTTTTAAATTGAAAATGTTTGTAGCATTATAGTGAAGCAATGGATTATATTTTGCTCTATTCTTGCTTTCCATGCAGATTTCTTTTATGGTTAAGATTTATAAAACTAATAGTAGATATTAGTTTGCAAGATATAGGTGTATCAATTGCTATTTTAATTATGTCTTTTGTTTATGAATTAGAAACCTGTTTTGTGTTGGATTTCGAAATTTGATTTTCTATTGAACCAATTTTTCATATAACGAACTCATTATCGGAATTTAGCAACTTCTTTAAATAGAGGTCCGACTGTATTTAATAAAATTCATCTTAGAACTGTGTGCATAATCATGATGAAATACTCTTTTCAGCTTTACAAAGATGCTCAAGAATGCCTGAATCAGTTGTCACATCGATTGGGAGATAATGATTTCTTCTTTGGGAAAACGTAACACATTCTTTCATATTTATTTATTTAAAATAAAAAAAATTAGTTTTAGTGTTGTGTTCTGAATACATGGTGCTTAGTGTTTTTAAAAAGTGCTTAAAGGTTCTTATTTTCGAATTTTGTTTTTAAAAGCCCTTCTCTCATTAGGTGTTTTTAAAAAGTGTTCAATTTTCCCTTCACAAAAAAGAGATTTTTTTTTCCTTTACCATGTCGATTTTTACCACGTATTATGCAAAAGCTAGTTTTTCACATTGTTCTATTCAACGTTTTAACAGTTCATTCAACCCCAATCCATTTCGCCGTACCGTTGATCCATAGTGTATGAAAGCACCAATAGTTTTATATGTTTGATAAAATACTTGTGAGTTCGCATGTGCCTCTACTAAGCTGTGTTTATTGAGATTATTGTAATCTCATGTGCAACTTTGTGGCATTTTGCAAATTATTCTTGATTCCGAGCTTCATTTTCCACCCTCTGATATCGAATCGAAAAATCTGTTAGATCATTTTATGATGGCTAATATAATCAAGAAAAAGAGTTCTTTGTCAGAAACTAGTTATTTTATCGTGATCATGTAAAGTCATTAATAATTATTCTGCATTTGCATTTTGTTTGTGCTTAAAAATATTTCAGAGTTAAGAAGTACTTAAAAGATGCTTATTTTTTGTTGAAAAATTTGGCTACGCACCCTTGAATAAAGAAAGATTAAGAATGATTCAAATATTGTGAAAATGTTTTTAATGTGTGATCAATTTTATAACTGTCTTTGAACAGCCAACCCTATTTTGAATTTAAGACTACTAATGTTCAACTCTGTTGCCTTATAATTTTAAACCCAATCAGGAGGACAAGGGAACTCCTGGAGCCTGCATTGGGAGACATTTGCCTTCTTGGAGGATTTTTTGATGAAACTAACCTGCATTTGCGTAACATGGGGGGGGGACCACGAAAACCTCTCACTGGCTGCAAGGAGACTCTAACCCATGATCCATCTACCAGTAAGGATATTGTGTTTGGTATTCACCGGCAGTCGAACGCTTCATCCCCTCAGTTATCACAGCTCTTCATTTGATATTTGACAAATTTCGTCTTTACCAGTTCATGAAAGTATTAAGCTTAAATAACAAAACTATTATTTTATTTTTCTGTGATTAACTTGTAATAATTATTTAGTTATTTTATATAATCAATAATAATATTGTTATAATTATGTAATTAGTTATACTACTGTTTTTAACTGGTATTGAGCATTAATGATGAATTTTTATCAGAGGTTTGAGTATAAATATCTAAATATATAAGTAATCTAAGTATCTAAGTAATATAAGAAATAACATCTAATAAGAATCTAAATTTATAAGAAAAAATTAATAATTCCACTACCTCTAGGGATGTCCTTTCCTGGAGTCCACAGGTCAAAACTAATAGAATATAATTTTACTTCTTTTGTGACCTTTTAGAATAAGGCTTTTTTGATTTAATTTTGCATTAAATCGGTTGATTTTAATCATATTTAGTTTTCTGCTTACTAAATAATTATACTTTCAGGCCCTGTTCTTTAGATGCTATTGTTTTTGGATTTCTTGCACCACTTTTAAAAGCTCCCTTCCCGAATGCAGCACTACAAAATCATTTGAAAGCCTGCACAAACCTGCAGAAGTTTGTTGACAGAATATTACAGAAATATTTTCCTTTATCTCCCGAAGGTAAATTCTTCTTTTTTAATTAATTATTTTTGATTGATTTTGTAATCTTTTAGGAGGATTCTGAAGAAAAGCTGTTTTAAAATGCAATGCAAATATAATTTACTTGTGAAACAGTCACAGAGTCCTCCCTGTGGCAGAATTTTTTCGGGCTTTCTGTGACATATCTTTGTAATACTAATCTATGTTACTGTTACAAATGTACTACACATATGTTACAAATATACTTGTTACTAAATTAAAGCAACAGCAACTTCAAAAAATTTTTTTAAAAAAACAATTTTTTTATTAAATACGTAATGAATTTTTTTATTCTAATGTTATGGACGATATGCTCGCATTTTGCAGGAGGAAAACGCACTAATTATTTCCTTTTAAGCGTTTTGTAAATAATCATCACATTAAAAAAAAGGTAATTAAAAAATCGTGAAAGCAGTAGCAGTAACTAACGGAAGAAAGAAAAAAAAGATCGACGAAAAGATCATGTGAAACATACTATTCAGAAAAGGGTTACTAAATGTATGTTTTCATTTCGAGATTTAGTTGTAATAAATAATATCAGATTACAAATATCAGATTTTAAATACTATGTGAAAATCAATAGTAATAACGTTTAAAAAAATTTTTGCAGAAAACAAAACCAATTTTTGTTTTACTTCATTACTCTTTGTTTTAGATTGTTCTCAAATGAGAATATAAAAATCACACACATTTTTTTTCACTCCACTCCGCGAGAAAAGCATATTTTTAATATAATTCTAAAGAAAAGATGAAATCTTTCAAAACTTTTTGCACAAAAGGAAACCAAACTTTTTTACATCCCAATGAAAAATCTCTCTTGATCTGTGATTCAAAATATTTGAAAGCACTGTTCTATGTTATTAAATATTTAATGATGCAAGAATTTTCAATGTTTTTAAAGGTCTTTGGTTAAGGCACCATAAGTAAAATCAACATTCATAAAACTATTAAAAACATATTTTTGTTTCTTACAATTTGAAATAAAAATACTATTTTGATTGAAAAACAATTATCATTCGTGTACATTCTAATAGTCCTTATAAAATGCATACTAATATCAATTTTTTTTATTTTGTTAGTCCGAAAACAAAAATAAAATCTGTTTCCTATCCTTAATTTAAAAAAAAGAAATGCCAAGATCTATCTGTTGGTGCTAGCAATAACTTCCCTCCCAAATTTTTATTCTTTTATTTTACTGATTGAAACAAGCTAAATTTTTATTTCGTCATTTTATTTAACTAAAAACAATCTTTTTGAGTGAAGGGCCACTTGCACAGCAGGTTGACTAACGAAGGGCCACATGCATATTTAGTCATGTTGGTGGCAAATATAATAATTTTTATCTCAAAATTGGTGCTCTGAACAATAAATATTTTCATCAGTAAACTTAGTAACATATTTTCCTAAAATTAAATAATTTAATTATTAAAATTCATTCAATAAAAAAAAATAATATTTTTTATTTTTCTGAAAATATTTTTATTTTTAATATTTGAGGAAAGGAGATATTATAAACTCTAACAAAAGAAAAGTATAATGCTCATAGAATAAATGTGTAAAAAAAGCTACATATATATATATTTTAATGAAAAATATAAATTTTAACTTATTTTAAAGAAAATTTATAGGGTTTAGGCAAAAATTAAAACTTAACTATAACAGTACATATGATTTCATATTTTGTGAAGAGAAATTAAAAAGATTCTCCATTTTAACTTTACAAAAAGAAAGAAATTTTGTGTTTAGGAGCTCTCGCGGGCCGCACATCAACAGTCGGCGGGCCGCATGTGGCCCTCAGGCGGCAGGTTGTGCACCCCTAAACTAAACAAAAATTATTTTTAAATCATTTTTTATTAAGATCAATATTAGTTAAAAATTTTGAAAAATGTATATTTTTTGTATATTTTATCTTTGGATATGTTTCCCCTCTTTAAATTATTTAAAATTACTTTAGAAACTGTTTGATTAATTTGTATAATTAATTTTTAAATGTTATAATTTTTTATTTTAGTTGATGTATTGAAAATAATAATTTTTTTTTTCTGGTAGAACTTGAGGCTTTGAAAAGAAAAAAAGAAGAAGAAGCAGAAGAAAGAAATGAATTTCCAAATAAATGGCGAAACATCATTTTCTCAGGTTTATTTGCTACCATTATGATGTTATCTTATGCAGCAACCACTGTAAAGGTAAAGTATTCTCACTTCTTTCTAGCAGCATGGGTGTATGTATATATATANTATATATATATATATATATATATATATATATATATATATATATATATATATATATATATATATATATATATATATATATATATATATATATATATATATATATATATATATATATATATATATATATATATATATATATATATATATATATATATATATATATATATATATATATATATATATATATATATATATATATATATATATATATATATATATATATATATATATATATGTATATATATATATGTATATATATATATATATATATATATGTATATATATATAATCAGAGTTCACCCTGAGAATAAAAAAAAGGGGGAATTTTTTTCATTTAAATCAATTTTTTTTTTAAATTTTACTAATCATGCTTATTATAAATTATATTAAAATTGCTTAAAACATATTATTAAAAATTAATATTAAAATTAAAGTTAACTTAAATGGTTAAAACTATTAAATAATTATTACAAACTAATCACATGAAAAGTAAAATCATGTATTCAAGCAAGGCACCTCATGAATTTTTAAAAATGGAGACCCAATTGGCCAGATCATAGAAGAAAAAATTATTTAAATCAGATAACATAAAATCATCAGCTACGTACACAAATTACATATTTAACAAGTTTTAGAAATATAATTGTATTAAAATAAACAAAATAGATACAATTGACATATGTTTGTTAAACAGCAAATTATTTTATATACATGTAATGGAAAGTTATAATTTAAATGTATCACATCAATTTTGCCCGCATTTAGTTTATTTTGACTATCCAATATTAATTCTCCTGATCTGATTATTTTTCTGGAATAAACCTGTAATATCCATAAAATTAAACTTCAAAAAAAAATTATCACAATTATAAGAATGCATTTATAAATTATACTGTATAAAGAATATTTTTGATTTAAATCAATGACTTTATTTTGTTTATTTATTTATTATTATTTATTTATTTGAAATCAAGTAATTTAAATCATATTAATCCGGACTACTATGACTCATAATATTTCTTAGAATAATAAAAAAAATATGGTTGTTCACTGAAAGGTATTAGGGAGGTTAACTCTAAATTTAAAAAAAAATTTGGTGGAAAAATTGGAGTTGGAGTCGCAATTAAACAGGACTGCCATTCCTTAAGGAGAAAAGGGAAAACCTGGAAAATACAGGGAATTTAAAAACAATCTAAAATCACATTGAAAAGGCAGAGAATTTCGAATTTTTCCTTATAAACTGAGGAGGGGGGATTTCATTTATAATTTTTGTCTTTTAAAGAAAGCCGAACTCTCGAAGGGCAATCTATGAGATGTTTAACGATAATCGGCTATATTATACTATTTCATTCATTATAGTATTATTTGTTTTATGGTGATCTTATTTCTCCAAGTTTTTCCAACAACTAAAACTAGCATCCCTAATATAATTCACAAGAGTACAGTGAATATGTGTTCCATCTTTAATATATTGTGTGTAATATGTGCACACGGGGAATATTTTTTTATATATGAGTGGCAACACTATTAAAGGAAGACAAAATATTGATAAATGTAAACTTATGTTAAATTATGTCTTAAAAAGTTATTAAGGAGGAAATATTGGTTATTCAGCAATAGTTTATCTTCCTATTTTAGAAAAATATCATTGCCCATAATGTTTTAATAAAAACAAGATGGGTCCATTTCGGATGGTCGTTACAGAAAAAATCTTTGCCATTTGTAAATCTATATTCTTTTGTCCAATCGTGTCGAGTCTAGAAACCTGCTCTCAGTTTTCTTTTAATTCCCTTTAAATTGGAGAAATTATTTGTCCTTAGCGCAGGCTATACTAAAGTTTGTCACAAGAAACAGTGGCCTAGTTTTAATCTATGTTCAAAAGGGGGTTATCGATTAGTGCCGTCTAATATATATATACAGTCCCTGTCCAAATTATTAGACGCACTCTAAGATTCTATTTAAAATCCTAATTATCAGGTAATATTCTTACAGCTTTATTGTTTTTACGAGACTGTTTGAACTTGTTTACGCTGCTGTATCAATGGGATAACATTGTGATGCAATACGTTCAAAATAAATACAATATATAAAAAATGTCCTGAATAAAAACCCATTACACGTACTATGTTTAAATATAAAAGTATAGTCTATAAACTCTGCAAAATGTATAATTAATTAAAAATTACAGCGTGTCTCATAATGTGATCTAAATATTATAATATACTAATATATTACCTGATATAATAAATATGTTATATTTATATAGCATATCATCTAATGTGTCCAATCGTCGAATTTATATTATATATCATCTAATTTAACCAATAGATAGACAGTCTCGTAAAAACAATAATGCTGTATACTATACAACTTTAGCTATTCTATAAACAATAAAGCTGTATTCTATACAGCTTCATTGTTTTTACTAGACTGAAACCAGTACAGTGTATAGTATCACCCAGAGCCGGATTATACCTTTCGTAGGCCCTAGGCATAGCCGTTTTTGGGCCCTCCCCTCTTTTCAAAATATATGCTAAAATTTTCTTGCATATTTTTTTTTACATTTTTATTAATATGGATTTTAATTTACAAATTTGTTTATCGAACTTTATCTGCAATACCGACATACTGCCGATATTGCAGTTGATATCGATAATACCATTATGATTAGTTCGATCGATAACTATGTAAACACTTCACGTCAACAATACAACAACAAACCAGCAAAGAAAACAGTGAAATTGATAGTGAGATTAATTACAAGAAATATTTATACAGTAGAGAACCAATTATCTGGGATGCTCGGGACCATCGCTATCCCGGATGTCTGAATTTCCCAGTTTTCTGGATCGACCAAAAAGTGTCATTAATCGATGTTTTATCGAACCCGAATTACAAGGAAATTACACAAAAATTTGTCAGAATCTGAGATTAAACTAAAAGCGCAAAATTTGGTGAAAATTTACTCATCCGATTTAGAGGAAAACTTTGTAGATGAATTTTTACTATTTTCAAATTTGTATGAACATAAATCTGCACAAGAAATGTTGAAGGCTCAAATTAAAGATAAACTTGTGAATACTTTTCCTAACGTTCACATTGCATTAAGAATATATTTGTCGATTCTTGGATCAAATGCAGAAGGAGAAAGATCTTTCTCCAGATTAAAATTGATAAAAAATTATTTGCGTTCAACAATGAATCAAGATCGTTTGGCATCGCTCGCACTTATGTCTATTGAATACGACATTTTGCGTAGTTTGGAATTCGACAGCATAATACAAGATTTCGTTGAATCCAAAAATCGCAAAAAAGTAATATATTAGGTCATAAGATTCTGCAAAATAATTTATTGCCGAAAAATATTATATTTTTATTTGTATCTTCATAATTTTGTGCAAAATACACTTGTTGTTTTTAAAGATAAATTATTTTTGTCAACAAATTCTTTTCTCCCAAGTTTTTCGTAGGCCCCTGAATTTCGTAGGCCCTAGGCACGTGCCTAGTGTGCCTATAGGTTAATCCGGCCCTGGTAGCACCTGATAATAAAGATTTTACATAGAATCTTACAGTTCCGTCATATAATTAGGCCAGGGACTAATATGTATAGAATGTAATGAAAATCTTTTATACCTACATCCTACTTGCCGTACATTAGTTCATTAATCGAGTAATATTTAATTTCGGAGGGGATTACATCCCCCAAAATCACTTCCCTGGGAAGGTGAATTCCTACCAAAAATTTTGTGACATATTTAAAGCCTTACATTTTGAAACCGCCAAGTTTAGTATTGAAATATGCCATTTTATGTCTCACCCCCCTATATGTTAGTAAAACTACTACCTTACTCGAATGCTCAGCTGAAACGAAACATTGACCCCCTCTCCCAAATGAAGGGGGGAAATGAGGTTGTTTTCTTGTCTGGAAAAATGATATTTTTTTTAAAATCTTTCCTTTAGATTAAATATCCCACAAGAAATGAAGACTACGCTCATGATGATTATGAACACTATTATGAAAGCAGTGAGAAACAAAACAGCTCTTCTCATTAGAAAATAATTTGAACATTATTTTAATGAATTGAAGTGTTTAGTGAAAGAATGCATGTAATTCCTCAGAAATAAAAGTGTATCTCAAACTTTTATATGTCTAGTGTTGCTCTTTCTTTTGTAACTATTGATTTGTGTGTGATTGAGTGCAAGACATAAGTTTGGAAACAATTCGAGAAATTCCTTAATAATAATAGATATTTATCTAAAGAGTGATAGACGCATGTCAAAAGTGACACTTCTCATCTAGATCATACATTAGGCAAACACCTGAGGGCGACAGAGGCAGAGGTAATTGTGCTCTGGAAAAGAAAGAAAAAAATGTATTTCCGGATTTTTCCCTACTTGCACTCCAAAAGTTTCGAGAAATCATCTATCACATTCATGTATAAAAGTTCTTGTATATTTCATTTAGAAAATATTAGAATTAGAATTTATACTTGGCATCTTTTATTTGTAAATATTTTTTCTGGTAGAATAATAAATCTAATGAGAGATAAAAGTAAACTTGTACATTATTATTCATTTGAATGATGCTGTATGTAATTTATTTAGAATTTCATGTTGTGAAAATATCAATGATTTAAATTTATGAAGACTTTAGTTTTTTTTAAATGCATCATTAATGATTTTACTGAGGGAATTTTCAGGATTTTTGAGTTGAGCTCACATTCACCCCTGCAGAAGTAAAGATAAAAAGTGAAACTTCTCCTGAGCAACCACTCTCTGTGAAATGGAGGTTGGTTGTTCTTAGAGGTTACCTCCATGAACTTCGAAATTGTTGTCGAAGGTATATGATTTTTCGCAAACGATGTTCATTTTAGTCATTTTCCTGGTGCGGAAATGCCGCTTTTGTTGACGTCAAAAAAAGACGGATCTATGATTAAAATTTAGAGTATATAAAAATGAACCCAACTGATATAACTATGTGTAAAAACAAATTTACCAACTGTAAATGATAAAGCTATTTTAAATAAATAATCAATTATTTTTTTTTTTAAGTTTTCATTTAATTTTATATCATAAAAATTAGTTAGATTTAAAAGATGAAAAGTGGTTTTCTTCTTTTTTCTAAAATAATTTTTTTTTTTCTAATTTAATTTTTCTAACTCTAAAAATAAATTATTGATAGCATTACCTTTAGGGTACTTTAATTGCAACGTGAGATTCTTATCGGCAAAAAGAGCTCTTTAAATGAGAGACTCACACAAATATTTTGAATACATTTTAATCTACTTATTTTTTATTATTATTTTTTTGTGTTTCCTTATTTGACCTTTTGGTGCAGATGTTTGCCTGGAGGAGAGGTTTTACCTCTTAAAGGTTTCCTTCAATGGAAAGAATTCTTAAATAGAAGTGATTTTTCCTGGTGGTATTTCTTTCAGCCAATCAGATAATATGCAATTGAAAATATCTGAGATTAATTCGCAAATTCGATGTAATTCCTTCCTTTTATGATATTTATTAACTAATGATATATAACGATAATGATTATATTATTTATTATGATTTTGAAAAACACTTGCCTGCTTCCAGGGTGCGTAGCGTTTTTAAAAAGTGCTTATTTTCGATTTGCGTTTTTTAAAAGCCCTTAAAGGTGCTTCTTTTATGGGGTGTTTTTAAAAAGTGCTTCATTTTTCCTTTACCCTGTTGATTTTCGCCACATATTATGCAAAAAGACACTGTTCATATTGTTCTATTCGACGTTTTAGTTCAACCCCAATCTATTTCGACGCATCCTCGGTCCTTAGCTTATGAAAACGCCATTCGTTTTATGATTCAAAATTTCATGATTTTTGACAATTGTCAAAAACTATGCCAAAAGTTTTATTTTTGACATGACGGTTGAATCTGGATAAAACCGTCTTTTCTTTTAAGTGCTTAAAAGGTGCTTATTTTTATTGAAAATTTGACTATGCACCCTGACTTCTGTTTCTGGTTCAATTAAATAGTTGCTATAGATATAAGTATTCATGTTTTAATAACATTTAATTTTTGAAAATTGTAAAATAATCTAAAACTAAATAAATGTATAGCATTTGCCTTTTCGGATTTTAGACTAGGGCAGTGAAGTGATCTTCTAACAATGAAGAGAGAAATACATGGGTAAAAAAACAATGAGAATTATTGCTCAAAAATGTTAAAACATCTCAAAGTTTAAAACCATCTACATAATTCAAAAGTCTACAATGACAGAGACTCTAAATCAGAGGTCGCCAAAGTGGTCTATATAGACCCCCAGGGGTCTATTTAACAAAGGCGGGGGTCGAATGGGGTCTATCCGAATCGGAAGGGTCCATTGGGGGTCTATGAAAAAACAGTTCTTAATACGCAAATCACACATACCTAAGCATGTAAAATTTGTGAATTTTTTTATAACTGACTTAATATCAGTTTCTTTATAGAACATAAATTAATAAACGTATATTTATTAGGGTGAAACAAGTAATTACGTACCAGCGCGCAGTGGCACGAACTCTGCACTTCTGCTTTATAAGTCATATGCATATGTGCCATAAAATTGACCAATTTTGAACCCAATATAGCGAACCTTGCAAAAGAACACCAAGCACACCCATCTCATTGATTAAGAAGCAATAAATCTGTAGTTACGTTACTTATTATTTCTACTTATTTATAATTACTTATTATTTAATAAATATTAAGGTATTTAAATTTCAACATTAATATATTTTTCATAAAACTACTGTTACACAATGTACTATTACTTTAATAAATGTTTAAAATCATAAAATAAATGTACAAACACAGCATCTAATAGAGTTTTATGACAGAACAGTTTATTAACAGAAAACTACTTTTATGGGGGTCGATGAAGATTTCGAAAAGTTATATAGGGGTCGATGATCAAAAAAGTTTTGCAACCCATGCTCTAAATTCTTTGGTACTAATTTCTATCGAAAATGAAACTACAAAAACAGTTCATTTAAAAAAAAAATCTGAAATGAAGCCCGAAAAAATAAATGTTAATGTTTAATTTTTGTATTGTATGCCATATAAAAGATTATGCACAGTCAGAATATTACATATAATAAATATTTATTCTAAAATACTGATGATATTCTCATTAATCTAACGACTATTTTTTTTAACCTTTAATGTGTTAATTGTAATCATCTTGTTCATATGTTTCTCAAATCAATATTTATGATTGACATAGGAGTAATTTTATCTGGTAGAAATATTGTCATAAAAAAGCGATTTTTGACTTCGTAGTTCCATTTTAATAATCCACACTCTTTTAGATTTTGAAGCCGATATCTTTAAATTGGTACTTGTACCGACTCTCCTTTAATTGGTGCTTAAACTCACTATCACTTCACCAATTTCCATAATGCACTCTCTTTTGTTTGAAGCATGAAACCACTACCCTGTACTCGGTGCTTGAACCCACTATCATTTGATCAACTTTGAAAACCCACTGTCTTCTATTTAAAACTTGAACCCACTATCTTTATATCGTTAATCATACGCTATCCTTAAATTGGTGATTGAAACCACTATAATTTGATCAATTTTTATAATCAACTGTCTTCTATTTAAAACATGAACCCACTATCTTTACATCAGTATTCGAACCCACTCTCCTTTAATCGGTGATTAAACTCACTATCATTTGGTCCCGCAGTGGATTGATCGTAAAGACACGGTTCCCGGTAGAACACCGAAGTCAAGCATTCACTGACTGCGGTCAGTGTGAGGGTGGGGGATCCATTTGATTACCCTGCGTAGGGACCGAGGGTGTGCGGCATGGGTTCTCGTTAAACTGTTCTACCATAAAGTGCTCGACTTCGCGTGCAGGTCGTCGGGCTACCGAAGCTGGGGTGCCATCCCCTCTGCAGAGGATCAAAATTGCGATGGCATGTCTTCGGATCATACTCAGGGATGTTTCCCAGACCGTCGCCAATAGCCCATTGTGCGGCGTAAATGAACTACAACAACACTTAATTAGCTCACGAACTTACCCTCTTTTTATCGGTACCTGAATCCACTATCATATGATCAATTTTCGAATTTCCTATATTTTGTTTCGAACTTAAACCCACTACCTTACTATCGTTACTCAAACCGGCTATTATTTTATCAGTACCTGAATCAACCTTTTTTTTTAATCGAAATTCGCACACACTAGCATATGATCATTTTAAGAAACCACATTATTTTTTTATCAGTTTTGTTATTATAGGTATATTCGAACAAACTATCATTTGGTTAGTTCACGAACCCACTATCTTTCTATCAGTATTGGAACCCAGTATTTTTTAACGGTACTCAATCCGGCTATATTTGGATCAGTATAAGTACAATTTGAATTTATGTAAATTATCAATGCTAAAAATATTAAAAAATTTAAGCATAATTTGCATTCAATCTTACAAATTGACAAATTCGAGGTATATTTAAAAAAGTTTATACTAAAAAGAAAGTATATTCATATATAAAATCTGTGCTATCGCTATAAATTTATGATTGATTGATTGATTTGTTCATTTACGTCGCACTAGAGCTGTACAATGGGCTATTGGCGACGGTCTGGGAAAGATCCCTGAGGATGATCCGAAGACAAGCCATCACAATTTTGATCCTCTGCAGAGGGGATGGCACCCCAGCTTCGGTAGCCCGACGACCTGCACGCGAAGTCGAGCATTTTACGGTAGAACATTTTAACGAGAACCCATGCCGCACACCCTCGGTCTCTACGCAGGGTGATCAAATGGGTCCCCGACCCGCTTACTGACCGCAGCCAAAACAGGAAAGAGAAATTTTACATTTAAACGATAAAAATCAACCATTTATTTCAGTATGCTAAGCTGAACAATTTGAGAATTGAAATCTAAGATTTGTGGCTCTTTTTAATTTCAAATGTAAATTTAAAAACTTTAAAATATTTCAGATCTTCAAATATCGGAGAAATTATTATTCTGTAATAAATGTTAAAATTTATAAGTTCAAGTGTTATACACATAACTTTGAAATACTTGTCGGAAATAGCTATAATATATAAATTGAGGGATATTATTGATTTATAAAGGATTTAGAATTTAAGGCTTACATTGGGGGTTGATATCATT